TAACTTTACAGAAAAAACGGAAACAGTACACGGCGGCAGAGTACCAGGCCCTGAAGGCAGAACTGAGAAGACGACAGAAGTCATGGTTGTCCATGGTACCGCGGAGATCGACGACAGTTATTTGATCATCTCTATTTTCAGTTCACTCAGCCAGCACATCAATTATGTCTCTTCATCAAATGACTCGCCATCTGGCGTAGGCGTTGTCACAGATCTCGTCTTCGGTGTTCTGGATCAATTCTACTGATGATATTCCACCATGCCACTGTCTTAGGCCATCCACAATCATTTCTCTTGGTCTGCCTTTGCCTGTTCTACCAGTGACGTTTCCAGTCGTCACGATATTTTCAGTGCTTTGTTTCTCACCACATGACCAAAGAATGTCTACAGACTGGAAAACATATTTACCTTTCACTAGCTGCGCCCCCCCCCCCCCCCCCCCCCACTCCCTTTAAAAAAAAATCAGATATGTTGGTAGCAGTGGCTAGAATATCAAGTAACAAGACACACACAACCTACACTGAACCAAGATTACTCTGTGACCGTTTTGTGATGCCTCAGTATAACTGCAATACAAAATGAAGAACAATTTGTGCAATAAATCCGTGTCAGAGGAAGTAAAAAAAAAATAATTTATGCATGCAAACTATATAGAGCTAGTTTTAACACATTGCTGTTATAAAGCCAAACAATTTCTTGATTAGGTGTGGTTCTACAGAAAAATCCTTAAAATTTAATGGACAGCTAAAAAGAGCAACCAAGATGTTTTAAAAGAGGTGAAGACTCAGAGACAACTTATCACAAATATTAAACATCATTTTTTGGTCATGTTAGGAGAAGAGGAAATATGAAACATGTTGTGACCACTGGAAAGATCTGTGGAAAGAGAGACAGAGGATTCTTGACAGTCTTTTATCATAGCTTGGAGGGGTGTCAACACATGCACTGATACACGCAGTTGCAGATTGTGGAGTGTCAGTCGGCAAGGCACTTGATAATGATGATAAGGCTATATGATTGAACATGATTTCTGAGATTTCTTGTTGACTGATTATCACCCTTGAGATGTTAATCCTACATACTGCCATCATGTAGGCAGAAAACGTTTTTCCCCATAAATGAAAGAGGGGGGGGGTGTAGGGTAATGCTGCAATTCTGCAGAGCATATCTATAAGTCCCCACTGGTTAGCGAATGGTCGTCAATAGCCTTTATAAAGTTTGCAGTCTGAACAACGGATCAACATCTTGGCACACGGGTAGTAACCCATAAGTGCTCCGTTCTTCTTCTAACTCAAGTCTGAGTCCGAAGAAGCTCAGCACAGTGCACAGGCTCTGGAGCACCAGCGAGGATCCTAAAATACTTTTTGAACTACAAATTTTGCCCGGGCAGCGCCGTTAGGCTACTTTTTTCGATTTCCAACTGCCAAGGGATTTTTTTACGTGCCCAACAATGCACATGGGCGTCCGATCTCACAACCAAAGACCAGGGTAAATTACTAGAAGTCCAAGTCCACGTGAACAAATCCCAGCCCTCACCAGGAATTGAACCTGGACCATGCAGGCCCCTTAATCTGTATAAAAAAAGTCATACTGTGTTGATCTTCTATTCTTAAACTTAACTCTTTTGTCCCATCGAATGTACTTTGTGTGGCTTGTTTAATGAGTAACAGCTAACGTTCCACGTGTGATTGTACTTCTTATATTTGGTTTGCGAACATAAACAAATCTGGCCACATATTTATTTGTTTTGTATTTTTTTTACCCTGAATGGGGCCCCAGAACTCACACTGGGAAACCTACCCACTTCACTATAGTCTCCAAGAATTTAAATACTAAGTATCTGAACTTGCAACAACAACAAAATACAAAATCATTAGCACATATCGGAACTTGCAACAAAAATACAACATAGCTACCGAGTATCAGAATAAAGCATTTTATTTCCACTCCTTTAATCTTGCTGAAAGACAGACGAATCAAAGAGCATGGAAAATGATGTTCTACTTGCTAGTTTCATTCCACATAAATAAATAAATAAATACAGATGTGACACTGCCAACATTCCACCTTGTACTGCCACTGATAATGTCTTTTGGTGTTCACATTTTCAACCTGTCACTGGTAGAGACAACTGGCAAACGTTATGGGAATGGAAGATACAAAAACAAACAAAAAAGTATCTGAGTGGTTGGACCAAATGGTATTATTGTGACAATAATACAGACCCGATCAGAGACTCTGGTGATCATGCTGTTATGTCGATTCTTGACAACTCAACACTACTGTACTGGATATTACTTGTGTGCAGCAGTTAACATGATTTGTAGATTTGTACATCTGAACTTTAGTCAGGCAAACTAAATTGATCCAGCAACATCAGCCACACACAATGTGCTGGATATCTAGACCCTGTGGATTCGGTATAGCCATGCTTTTGTTGTCATTATTATTGCTCCAGCCAGGCATCATCTGTGATCTTCTGGGACTGACAGTCTATCAGCAATGGGTCTATTTCCCTCCCCCATCCCTTAAAATATGGGCCCCTCCAGAAACCACACGGGAAAGGCAATAAAATGATAATGAATATCATTAACCAGATGAAATAATAACGGACACAGTATAAGGCACACCTCTGAGAAGTACTAAATGAGAAGGATAAACCATTTAAGATATCACATACACAAGGCCACAATTCCCTTTCTCCCCACCTATACCATATCTTCTACAAAGCAACAGTTCACGTTTATATAAGCATATAAAACATCAAGACCTGATATGTAAAAAAAAAAAAATGTACAAAAACAGGTCAATAATCATAATTGCAATAATTACTGATCACAGATGCATCAACAAAAAATCTGCCCTGAACAGTGGTATCCTCCACCTTGTAAACAGTTACAACTGTTACATCTGATCTTGAAGATAAATAATTCACAAAATGATTGGCGACTAATTAGAAAAGTCAATACCACAACATCCAGCTTAAGAATGGAGGTGGAGGCTGTCACTGCAGCTTTCCACTGGCTAGAGAACAGGATATATATACACACACACACACACACACACATCGTGATTGTAACTGACTCAGAAAGCATGCTGAAGAAGGTGAGGACAGGCACTCTTCGTGATAAGTGGCATGCTTTGCTTCAGAGGTCACGGGTCAGCAACTTTGTCTGCATCTTTGCGCTGGGGAATGCCGGTGTGATGGGAAATGAACAGGTGGACAAACTGGCTGGCTCTGCACAATTTAGTGGAATACTGCTGCATGATAATGCAGACGTGATCAAGGCCGTAAGGGAGCACATATAGAATCTGGAGGAGCAAATGGATCATCAAAATCTGGAGGGTCAGCAACTTTGTCTGCATCTTTGCGCTGGGGAATGCCGGTGTGTTGGGAAATGAACAGGTGGACAAACTGGCTGGCTCTGCACAATTTAGTGGAATACTGCTGCATGATAATGCAGACGTGATCAAGGCCGTAAGGGAGCACATATAGAATCTGAAGGAGCAAATGGATCATCAAAATCTGGAGAGTGATGCAGGGAGGAGTGACGAGAGGATCTGGCCTATACTTGACGCTTAGAGGAAAGGCAAGACGGACCTATAATAAGGCTGCTACATGTATCATTGGTATGGAAACTCTGCCCTGGCTGCTGAAGATGGGCACAGAGCACTTACAAAAATTCCATGAGTACTATGATGTCAGTTCTTAAACCAACTTAGAAATGTCAGAGATGTATTTTGTGACTTTTAATGAGTTAATATGCTTGCTGGAAATAGGACCTATCATTTTTCACACACACGCTACCAATCACCCATTAGAAAACTGATCCATAATCTATCACATTGTTGAAAACTGATCTACAGTTTTAAAACAATTTTGAAGACCTATACTCTAAAATAAACTTGAACATTGATCAATAATCTAAAATACACTTGAACAATAATCTAAAACAACTTGAACATTGATCTATAATCTAAAAGATACAGAAAAATGGATCTACAATCTATCACACTATTGAAAATCTTTCTATACCTGACCTATAATCTATCACACTGGAAACCTGGCCTTTTATCTATCCAACACTGAAAACTGACCTACAATCTATCACACAGTACAATTGATCTATAATCTACCTCATACTGTTTAAAATCTTAATGTGATTGATCCCCACATTTCAAAATTTGGCTAGAATCTATCCCATCTTGAAAGCTGACGCTGAGTCTAACACAATCCTGAAAGATGACCCAGAGTCTAACACAATCCTGAAAGCTGACCCAGAGCCTAACACAATCCTGAAAACTGACCCAGAGCCTAACACAATCCTATAAGTAGACCCAGAGCCTAACAATCCTGAAAGCTGACTCAGAGTCTAACACAATCCTGAAAGCTGACCCAGAGTCTAACGCAATCCTGAAAGCTGACCCAGACTCTAACACAATCCTGAAAGCTGAACTAGACTCTAACACAATCCTGAAAGCTGACCTACACTATAACCTTATAGCTCACATCTGTGGTTGAATTTCTTACATATGGGAGGCTTCACAAATCTACAATAACATCCACTTGATTTCCGTTTTTTTTAAATTTTTTTATTATTGACATGCCAGAGAAAGTTTTTTTCACACAAACTGAAAGTCCTTGGGGTGTTAACCCTGCAGACTGGAAAAGACAAGTATCTATCCCTTTTTATATGATTAGGCAGAATATTTGTGCAATCCCCAAGGACTTTTCTTGCAGCCCACCAGCTTGAAGAACAGTGATCCAGAGGACTCTGATGTAATATCATCTATCGCAAAACTATACCGTACTCAACCATTTGCATACATGTAGCCATCATAATCTCATCGACATTATCACTTGTCTTACAAACACATCTCCAATGTATGTTCTTGTGATCACCCATAAACCAGCTCTCTCAGTCGCAAACTTGACGCTTACACATCAGTCAACACTGCCCGCTGAAGGCAGTCTCAAAAGCTGCCTCATTCTACAGATGCTAATTGGAGGATTCTGGCTGTTTGACTTGCTCTAGGAATCCCTTACAACACCTCTGGCATTGCTCAAAAACATCTTCATAATCTTGGATCGATTCAGCCTGGGCCAAATGAAATAAAATATAACATCATCTGTTATCAAAAAGTTGAATACAAATTTTCTCTAATCCTAATAAAGTCTACTATGAAATTTCTGTAATAAACATAAAATCTACTACAAATACCCTCTAATCATCATAGTCTACTACGAAATTTCTCTTATGACAAAGGTTACTATGAATCTTTTCTAATTACCAAAAAAAAGGTTAGTTACGTATCCTTTACAGGACGAGGCAGAACCAACCCCATCAGCCCCCTGGCTGTTGTGTGGTTTCCCTAGGCAAATGTACGTCCAATAGTTTGCCATTGCTTTCTGGATGGTCGGCTCCCTGATACCACTGTCGAAACCAACGCAAGGCGTATGGCCCGCAGCTGGGTACCTCGGCATTAGGAAGCGTTCGCATCGACTTAGCCACAGAGCCAACTTTTAATTACCATATGGTTTAATAAGAACATCTAATAAGAACCTTCTCTAATTATCAAGAATCTCTATTTTCTATGGACTTTTAACACAAACCTCGTCTAATCATCACAGTCATGAGCTCCAGTATGTCAGGACTGTGACACTGAGTTTACAATCAATAAGCCACATTTGTGTCAATACCTTTTTTTTTTCCTTCAGCATTCTAAGTGCATTTATTGTTGCAGATATCACCCACCTCCATTCATCTCTGTGACTGGCCTTCTTGTACTGATGGGTCTTCTTTTCTTATTCTACACATTTACTGACTGTTAACTCTGCTGGAAGGTTCTGGTTGTTTGTCCACTTCTGGACTTTAATCTAGTTTCAGAACTTTGAGTTTTGCATATACATCCATTTTATAGATCTGGCTTATTTGTATACACACTATAGGGTTCCTCGCCTCTCAGGCAGATGTACTCTGACTTCAAAGGAAACACCATTAATTAGTCGCTTTTTACATTACACTTTTTAGGAGACAGTGGGTCTATACTTCCTCCCCATCCCCCCCCCCCCCCCCCCCCCCCCGTTCTCCCCAAAGGAGGCCCTGGAACCAACACAGGGTTTTCCAGTTGGGTGTTTTCAGATCTGTTTGTTGATATCTGCTGTACAAGTAAAGCTATTTAAAGTATATGACTTACAAAATAAGGATCTTGTATCGTCTTTTCACCCAAGGGATCAAATGAACCTAGAGCCTGGATCTGGCATTTACTCCCTTCAGGTTTCATGGCATTTAGGTTCCTGAAACACATCGGCAGTAACATTTGTCAGATCAATACGGTAGATTTATAATACTGACCAATATGGTAAGATTTTTAAATATGATCAAGTTGGTAAGATTTATACAACTGATCAACATGGTCAGATTTACAAAACTGACCAACATGGTAAGATTTGTAAGAATGATCAAGTTGGTAAGATTTATAAAACTGATCAACATGGTAAGATTTATAAAACTGATAAAGATGGTAAGACTTATAAAACAGATCAAAATGGTAAGATTTATAAAACTGATCAAGATTGTTAGATTTATGTAACTGATAAAGATGGTAAAATTTATTAAAATGAATAAGATGATAAAATTTATAAAACTGATCAAGGTGGTATGATTAAAAACAAATCAAGACAATTAAATTTATACAACTAAGATGTTAATATTTAAGAAAAAGCATCAAGACAGTTACATTTACACAACTGATCAATACAGTAAAGTGATCAACATGGTAATATTTACACAACTGATCAAGACAGTTGCATTTATACAACCGATCAAGAGGGTAACATTTATACAACTGAACAAGACAGTAACATTTTTACAACTAAGCAAGACAGTAACATTTATACAACTGAGCAAGACAGTAACATTTATACAACTGAGCAAGACAGTAACATTTATACAACTGAGCAAGACAGTAACATTTTTGTAAAAGTATTAGCATGTAATGTGATCAATTAATTCAAGTGTAAACATTTATTAAACAGATCACAGTGTTAACATTTATGTATTAATGTGTAAACATTGATTGAACAGACAACAATGCTAACATTTATGTATTCAGACATAAAAATGTATTAAACAGATTCCAATGTTAAATTAAATGCAACAGATTTAAACAGTAAAATTTATATAACTGGTGCCAAAAAAGCTTTAATGAAAGTCATAACATTTATAACATTAATCCAGACATTAAAAATGTGAAATTGCTCTACAAATTACAATGAATGAAGTCCAATGTTAGAGTCTGCTATTAAATTTCAACCACTAGATCAAATATCAGTCGTATGAAATGGCAATGTCCTACTTTATGATATAAAAAGTTGACAGACGCACCACCACTGACCACAGTCATCTTAGCAATAGGGTTGATGTTTCCTTCGAAGTGAAAGTGCATTCGGGTGAGAGGTAAGGAACCAACAGACTGCAGAAAAGTAAGCCAGACCTGTAAAATGAATGTGCATGTTAACAGTAAAGTCGAAGAAGACTATTAACCCTACCAGACCGCTAGCCCGATTTTCTGGGAATTTCCTAACCAGCCGCTATTCCACTGGCCCCTTTTTCCGGGAATTTATACAGTACGTGAAAAATATGCGTCACAGACTCAAAATTACCAGCCAATCACCATCAGACTTCGTTGTTAGTCACTGCGAATGACTTCCCACGTGTGTTGAGATTTCTTTGTAGGGTTTGATGTGAAAAAAAATTCTGTACATTTTCAATGAAACAAGCGGCATCAACAAGAAAGTGACGTAGGTCTAGGCTTTTCAGTCAAACAGGTGATCGATATGTTGGTTAATTCAGACTGTGAATAGGTTCATGAAGAATACGTTCCCAGTTGAAGTGACACAGTCAGTGAGAGCTAGAGAGCTAGTTTCTAACCACTTGTTTGCATGTAACTAATTTTTTTGTATATAATGTTGGTTTTTTTGTGTGTTAGTGCCCAGGAGCTCAGGTTATAGGGGCAGTAAGGTTCAGAGCCTCAGGTCTGGTAGGGTTAAGTCTAGAAGTGCACAAACAAGCAGGACTTTCCGCAGCTGCTGAATGAAAAAAAAAAAAAAAAAAAAATTCAAGACACTGAGTTGAATTAAATGGATCAAACTGGTACCTTAGATTATAGTCGTCCATCCCAAGTATATAATCATATTTGTTGAAATCTTCAGGTGTGACCTGAAGACACAAGCATACAAATATTAATCAATAATAAAAATAGATTCTTCTTCTTCTTCTTCTTCTTCTTCTTCTGCTTCTTTTTCTTCATCTTTTTTTCTTGGTTTTCTTCTTCTTCTTCTTCTTCTTCTTCTTCTGCTTCTTCTTCTTCTTCTGTCTTCGTCCTTAACAGGATGGATGGCAGGATATGGTTTACAACAAGGCTGCATTATTTACTTCTTTTATTTTGGCCTACCATGGCTGATTAAAGCATATTCCTCATTAATCACTTTTTAAGACAAGAAGAGATCAGGACCGGGCAATGTAATATTTACAAAGACAACAGCAGTACACTGTAAACAAGTCAACCTTCAATGTAGTGCCCGCGCATAATTTTTGTCTTTGGCTTAAGCGTTGAAAATTTGCTTCATAATTCCATGGTGCAGAGTTCAATCCCAGCTGCGCGCATTTTGGCAGCAGATGGCCTTGTGTTGCTTTTAACAGTGGTATCAAGAGCTGACTGTTCAAAAGCAATGGCAAACTAGTGAAAGTAAAATTGCCTAGTGAAACCACAAACACCAAGGGATACTGGGATTGGTTCTACAACATCCCATAAAGATACCCAGTTAACATTTTTTTAAAGAGCCCTCCTCCCCAACTAAACTAATGTGTGTGTGTCCTATGTTCCTAAAGCAACATATACTAGGTTCTAAAGAAACTACATTTACCAATCTCGCTGTGTGGGTGTATCCCTTGATCCCATGCTCCTCCAGCACTTGTAATGTCCGGGGCTCTGGCTGCTCCCCCAGGTGCCATTTTCCATGACCTGCACTGTCAACGTTCCACTGAAATGGTAATTTAATCCTCATTATTCTTTACACATCGTTAAATCTCTAAACATCTTGAATTTCTAAACATATGGAACCTCTAAACATCTTAAATCTCTATACACCTTGAATCTCTAAACATACTGAATCTCTAAAATTCTGGAATCTCGACACACCTTGAATCTCTACACCCCTAAAATCTCTAAACCTTGAATCTCTATACATCAAGAATCTCTACACACCATGAATCTCTAAACATCTTAACTCTACCAGATGGCTGAATCGCTTTTCAGGTAATTTTTTATCTGCCCCTAAACCGCTGTACTTAATTTTCGGTACTAAATGATAAAACGTGTCACAAAATAAAAATTACCAACCAATCGGGATCAAACTTCGTGGTTAGTTTAATCATTTCAAATAGATTCCCATGCGTGTTTGGATTTACTTTGTGTGGTTTAACATGAAAAAAATTCTGACAATTCACATTAAAACAAGCGGCTCATGAACCAAACAATTTCGCAGGAAAGTGAAGTAGGTCTAGGATTTTCACAGTCCAATAGGTGATCAATACTTTGGTTGATTCAGATTCTGAGGAGTTAAAATTTCATGAAAAATACATTCCTAGTTGAAGTGACACAGTTAGTGAGAGCTCGAATGATGAGAAAAATCTTGAAAATTATAGATTTAAAACTAGATCGATAGTAAGAGAAGGGGGGCGTGTCCCTCAAACAGCAACATCTGGTGTTCACTTTGTGAAACAAGACTGATCCTACTAGGTAGATTGGCACACAAAGATGGAATATTGGCGCTAGATGAAAGGTTAACCTATCTGCTACAATGTCCCCAAGTTTAATCTTATTCTATCTACTTGTTTGCTTGCAACTAATATTTGTGTATATCATGTTGGTTTTTTGTGTTAATTCCCAAGAGCTCAGGTAAAGGGGGCAGTTAGGTTCAGGGCTTCAGGTCTGTAAGGGTCAAATCTCTAAACATCTAGAATCTCAAAAATGCTTCATTCTCTACACATCTTGAATCTCTACATATCTTGAGCATCTACACATCCTGAATCTCTACACATCTTCAAATCTAAACATCTGGAATCTCTAAGCATCTTGAATCTCCAACATCATGATTTTTGTTTTTTTTTAATCGTCACAAAACTTTGAACAACTTAAATGATGGGCTACTTTATAATAAAGTGGACATGGTGGCGGCTGTCTGCGATGACGTAGATGGTGCAACACAACAGAGTATCCATTCCTTGAAAGATTAACTCTAATTCAAAAGAGGTTAGCAGAGGTTGTGAAAGATGTTTAAAGATGTTCCGCTGGTACTATTAGCATAATGACTCCTTGTTGGCTACTGAAGAAGGGGACGGAGCACATGTGGGAAGGTCCTGTGTGCTGGGATGTCAATTCTTGATTTATTTATTCATAAACATGATGAAATTCCAACACCACCATTTCTTTACAGATGATAAAGAATTGCTAAAATTGTTTCTTCATTAATCTGTCTGTCAGAATACTTATATCAGAAGGTCAGCAGTCTTTGTGAAAGCTTTGGTGCGGTCCAAACTCTCCTATGTATCATACAGCTCTGTCTTGGCTGAAGTGGGAACAGGCCAGATGGCTTCTCTTTCAGCAGCAGTTGACTGTGTTGGAATACCAACTCAGCATTTTCTTATGCCATGTTGTAGGGACATATCTCTGTGTTTTCTACACTGAGAAACTTGAACACATGCAGGTGATGCCTGTTATGTCCTACCCTTAGTCTAAACATGACATACTGTTACTATCTAGAAAAGCAATGCAGAGATAAAAGTTGATGTAGATATTCAGCCATCTTATCTAAACATCATATATCTCTAAACAACATGAAATTCTAATGCCATACCTGTTTCTATCATGTCTCTATAAGCATCTTGACTATTTTTTTATTTACTTATTTATTTATTTATTTATTTATTTAAATAATCATGAATCTTTAAACATCTTACATTTGTCTCACCATCTTGGTTTATAATTATCTTTATTTCTGAAAACCAAAACTTTTTAAATCATTATAAATCTTAATTGTGAATAATTAAAATTGATCTCTTGTACGTTTTCAGTTACACTGAACCTTTCATATGAAGCTCATCTAGTCAACATAAAAATCTGAACATTACTATGAACTATTCATCTGTCCCCCCTCTCCCTCCCTCCATCCACCCATCTTTCTACCCATTTATTTTCTCTGAAAAGTTTGCATTCCTCATTTTCTTTATCTGAATGAATAAATTGAAAACTGACATGGCTGTACTCAGGACATTCTCACACATGATTCATACCCTTCTTCAGCAGCCAACAAAAAGTCAACATGCTTAAAGGACCAGCTGCCACCTGATGAAAAGTCCACCCATGTTTCCCAGTTAGCATTGAATATCTTCCCAAACCTCTACTCATCCTTCCCCGTTGAATTAGTCTTTCAGTTTTGGATTTATTTATCTTTCTGGCAGAATACACCAAAGGGCTCCCATCACTGTGCACACCTGTACTCACCTGGTCTGCCTCTCCTTGTCGGCTCAGGTAATCTTTAAATAGTGCCTCAGCCATAGTTGATCTACATATGTTGCCTGTTTGTGAATGGAATCATGAAAGGAGATCAAACATAAGGAAAAGAAGCTGATGTACCTCTGAAAGATATCACATTTGTCTGGCCAGTTAAAAATCTGACCCATATGTGACCAGGGATTACAAAGGAAAAAGAAGTTTGAGGTTTGAACAATGGATCAACATCATGGCCCATGGGTAGCTACCCATAAGTGCTCCGTTCTACTTCTAACCCAAGTCTGAGCCTAAAGTAGCTCAGGGCAATGCACGGGCTCGGTAGCACCGGCGAGGATCCTGAAATATTTTGGTTGGATTTTTAACTCCAAATTTTGCCTAGGCAGCGCTGTTAGGCTACTCTTTTCAATTCCTAACTGCCAAGGGATTTGTTACGTGCGCAACAATACACATGGGCGTCCAATCTCACTACCAGGGGAAATGACTAGAAGTCCACGTGAAGAATTCCAGCCTTCACCGGGGCCTGAACCCGAGACCTCTAGCACACTAGTCAGACACCATACCTTGAGACCACACAGCCCCCTAGAGAGAGAGAGAGGAAACGGAATTTATAGGTAGCCTTTTCACATCATTGGCAGGCTAGGCATTTGATGCTAAACCCATATTATTATTATAGACAAATGCTCTCAAATGGCAATGTGGTCAACATCATGCCAGCCAGCTTCGCTTCCCTTGACACTTCCTGTACTTATTTTAGCTGGTGGAGGAGGGCAATCAGAGAAAACAAATATGTGGCTAATGCATTCAGCTGAGTTAACAACCAACAACCTAACACTCAGGACATTCGTGTAAATGCTCCTTTCATTTGCAGAAGCCAGTGAATAGTTCCAAGACCACAACTCTTTTTTGTTTTTTAGTACACTATCCTTAACTTACGACTTATGTGACATGACCATCTGCACTGATGACCACACAAAATAAATAAACAAAATAGTAAATAAAGAAAGATAACTATGTTGGTAGGGTAAACAGTTTATGGAACTAATGTAACAGAGTATATATTATGTAATTTTTCACATTATGTGCAATAACTGTATGTACGCAGATTGCCTTTTTTAATGCTTTATGTACAACTGTTATAATGGTTTGTTTGTTTTTTAAACATAAACATGACTTATGACCAGTTAGACTTATGACCAGTTTGACATGACCAGTTTGACATGACCAGTTTGACATGACCAGTTTGACTTATGACCAGTTTGACATGACCAGTTTGACTTATAACCAGTTAGCATGACCAGTTTGACTTATGACAAGTTTGACATGACCAGTTTGACTTATGACCAGTTTGACATGACCAGTTTGACTTAAGACCAGTTTGACTTATGACCAGTTTGACTGATGACCAGTTTGACATGATCAGTTTGACTTATGACCAGTTTGACATGACCAGTTTGACTTATGACCAGTTTGACATGACCAGTTTGACTTTTTACCAGTTTGACTTATGACCAGTTTGACTTATGACTAGTTTGACTAACGCCCTGTTAGAGAACTGGGTCGTAAGTTGAGTGGACCCTGTTTTTGTTATACATATATTATTTCTAATATATTATTAGATTTATGTCCATTCAAGACAGTATTATTATTGTTAATATTAGGCAGTTGAACAAGTCTTAGACTTCTTGAGAACCTTACCTCAGGAAATGTATAAGGGGGCTCAAGCCACCCCCTACCTCCACCCATTTATGTCAGTGCCCCTGATATTCGCTGCCATCCATCGAGTGCAAGACCATTGCTATTTATCCCAAAGACATCTGACAGAAAAATAGTCCTTACCTGCAGAGGACTGCAGTTACACTGATTTAGTTTCGCTATTAACGACTGCCCTAATTAGAACTTCTTCAGAGGTTGAATGGGGTATATGCCAGATTGATTGTGGTATCTGTCCGGTTGAATGAGGCATCTGTCCGGTTGAATGAGGTATCTGCCTGGTTGAATAGTGTATCTGCCCACTTGAATGAGGTATCTGCCCGGTTGAATGAGGTATCTGCCCGGTTGAATGAGTGATCTGCCCGGTTGAATGAGATTTCTGCCAAGTTTATTTACATATCTGCCAGGCTGGTCTGCCATCCAGACTTTTCTCTTTTTAAAATCAGTGGGGTAAATTTTTGTGTAGCATCCAAAAGAGGGTAAACTGACTAACTGATCGGCTGAGGGGGGAAAATGTGAAATGATAATGATGAGTTAGTAGTTTATTTAACTTTAAACTGAATTTGAATCCATGGACCCTCTAGTGTAGAAAGACGAGGAGTGGGAGTAGAATAGGAAGTTAATAGGACACATTAAGTTAGCGACTGTGACTTAGGCTTTGCAAAGGTGCTGCCTAGTTTGGAGGTGTCATGTTCAATTTCAGCTGTGGGCGATTAAGCGGCAGACCTCCTTGCAATGGACAGTGGTATCGAGACCTGACCCTTCAGTAAGCAATGGCAAACTACTGAATGTAACAATACCTAGTTAAATCACTGCCTAACAATGCTGAGGATGTTCTGCAATGTTTTCTAACTAAATAGATTTTTGTTTTTTAACTCTTTGAGTCCCAAGGAACGCATCAGGCGCTCATTTTTTACTTTTTGGCGGCCCAAACAGCACATGACGTGTGACGGTTTTTAATTTACCACTTATCGGTAATTACACGCGAACCGCTCAATTTAAACTTCCTTTCCGGTTCTCAAGTGTGTAGTGTACACACGTGGAGTGCATTCGTTTGGGTCTGGTGAGTTTTTAACGCTTTAAATCGATATTTGTGTGGTCTACTACATTACCAAACAATTGTCTGAAAACAATATGTCCGATCAGTCATCGTCTTCACGCCCATCAAAGCGATTTACTGCTTTAGAATCATCAAATTTGATAAAACAGTAGATCAGTTAAAGTAATGTGGAGTTGGATAATGAAAGTAGCGACGTGAAATTTCCCCAAACCGTTGACGAGTCACGTTTTGATGAGGATGTGTGCTTAATTTACCTCTTGCTAAGAGGACAAAACTGACTAATTCTGCCTTGGCAACACAAGAGAAGTACCTCGTAACGCGACACCAGCTAGTCCAAATGTCAGCGCTTCTAGTACTTCTATCCATATCATCTAAAACCATAGATATATATCTATGAACAGATTGACATGTTTTCAGTGCCTTTACAGTTTTTTTTTTCTATGTGAGGAATTCAATTGTTTTTAGAAAAGTCACTGTTTGTGCCACTGAAGAATATATTTTGACGTGTTATGGTAGTGTTATTAAAATCGCTATGGAACAAAAACTATTGCACATTTTGCTTTAATATTGGCTGTGCATACTTATAAGTGGTGTACCTTCCTTTGTGATGTATTTTGGATATACTATATCAAGAATTTTGGGATCAGCTTCTGGGTAAGTGGAAAAAACTTGTTCATAATTTACTCACCTCTCTAACTAAGTCACTGTTTTCTCTACTAAAAACTAACTAACAGTATAATTGTTTGTTGTAGCAGTATGCTAATATTAATCCTTATCCATTTATGTTTAATTTTATGTATGATATGTGTATGTTGGATATTAGCTGCAGTTGTGAGGTTTGTTTTAAAGTGCTGCATTTGTTAAAAGTCAAAATCATATTACCCCCCTTGGGCCCCTGGTGCAAAACCCCCTGGGACTCAAAGAGTTAAATGGCAACAACTACTGTGCACTTATTGCAGAAGACTTTTGTTAAAGCTATAGTCATATTCGCCATCACCTTAAGCTGTAATTCTCACACCCCACCATATCAACAGCACAATAAAACACTATCATCTGAATAGAAGGAAAGATTCTAGCTAATTTTAAACAGTGCAATGCCTCTTTCTATATTTATATATATAATATTATTTTAAGTGAGATTTTGTTTTCACTTGGGGAATTTTACTTATAAAGTTAGTTAGTTACGTATCAGGCTATCCTCCGATTAACGGTCCAAAATTATGGAGGCTGAAAATATACCTTAACAGGGCATCAGTGACATGTCAATTGCGGACTTCGGGCGACTACCGCCATCACCGAGAGTATCTCCCACGCCGCTATGGGCGGCGTGGAGTGGTGCTAAACTAGATGGCTGAGACTCACGAGCAAATAAAATGAAGGAAGCTGCAGGAGATGGGGTAGCTGCTGCTCGTGAGGGGATTTTTAAGTCGACATGTGACTGAGGCCCTGTAAGGGTATATTTTCGGACTCGATAATTTGGGACCGTTATTCGGAGGATAGCCATGTATCCTTTACAGGACACTGCATAACCCCAGCCTTTTTTGGCTGTTGCGGTTTTTCTAGGCAAATTTACGTCCAGTAGTTTGCCACTGCCCTCGATACCACTGTCGAAACTAACGCAAGGCTGGCAGCTGGGATGGAACCCAGTACCTCAGCATTACGAAGTGCGTTCACAATGCCTAAGCAACAGACACCGACTATTTTACAAAACTCAAAAAAAAAAAAATTGCTTATCTGCGTATCTTTTTATAAGAATCCATACCAAAGCATACAAAGAGAACGGATTTGGCCATTTGCTGCTCGAAAAAAACGTGAATGCTGGCAGAAAGACAACAAGTACGACCAAGAAGTTACTCGTTCATTGCAGCAGAGACGATGGCAGTTGATGGTGTCTTCCATTGGCAACTCCTAGTCCAATCCATGTTTTTGCTCAATCAATGTTCTAGTTTGAAGTAAATATTTATTTTGAATAAGAAAAATTTAGTAAGATTTAATAGCATTTACATCAATATTTTGTATACATTATCAATATTAATTTATAATATAAATAATTTTACAAGCATTTAGCTTTTATTTTTTTTTTTTATATTGTTTGTCAAAACCTGTATCCTAACCAGACTATTTTGATCTCTGGAAAGCAGATTGGATCCATAATAGTTGCATTTCATTAGCTTCTTTATTATGTGGGTTGTAGGGTCTTATTAAGGAAAAGGGGGGGGGGGGGAAGGGGGGGGGGGTTTAGATCTACTGCATCCTCCCCAGCAAACATGCCGGTTCATTCATTCAGTGGCATGTCCCTCGCGGAACCTCGCTGCCATAACAACCCTCCGGAAAACCTTCCTATCATGAGCAAGATGTCCTGCGTCTGATACACCCATCTGGAGATCATCTGCCACATCCTGCACCCATCTTCTCCTTGGCCTTCATCTTCCTCTCTTCCCAGGCATATACCCCTCCATTATTGTTCTCTCTAGACTTCCATGACGTTTCAAGTGACCAAAATATTTCAATTTTCTTTGTTTTATTGTCTTTACCAGCCAACCCTCTTCAATATTCAGCTCTTGAAGTATGGATGCATTTGTTCTTTTCTTTACCCAAGATATTCTTAGAACTTGTCTGTAACATTTATATTCAAATGCATTTATGCGCTGTTCCGCTTGTTTAGTAAGTGTCCAGGTCTCACAGGCGTATGTTGCAATGGGAAAGATGCATGCTCTTAAAAATCTGACCTTTGTAATTATATCTGTACAATTCCATAATTTATTCAGTTGTTTTAGTCTTTGAAGAGCAATTGATAGTCGCCGTTTAATTTCTTTCATTGTGTCACCATTGTTGGTAACCAGTGACCCAAGATATTCGAAATTTTCCACCACTTCCAATCTTTCCTCATTAACATATATTTCCTTCTCCATGGCAGTTTTGTTTGTATGCATTATCTTTGTTTTTGCTATGTTAAGAAATAAGTTATGATTTTCACTATTTCTTTGGAGTGAGGTTAATAAGTTTTCTAAACCATTTTGTGATGTTGATAGTAATACTGTATCATCAGCATAACGAATTTCTGGTATTTCATGACCACCGATGTTTAGGGCATCATATTGTTCCTTGTTTATATCATCTCTAACATTTCTCATTATATTTACATGCCGGTTAGATGGCAATAATTAGAGGTTTCCTGACATGAATATACTGGGCCAAAAAGCTCAAAACTGATTCCGGCAATTCTAACTGGTTCCCGGTGGAAACAGGAGTGAAGCAATGTGTCCTATCGCCCATGCTTTTTGGTATAGCAATCGACTGGGTCATGCGCAAGTGCATAAATAACGCAAATGTAGGCATTACATGGGTTGACAAAATTCAGGAAGACCTAGACTTCGCCGACGACATAGCACTCCTGAGTTCAGACACATCCGGCTTTAACTTTAATTTATAGCCTAAAGATGGCCGTGGTTCAGAACACCAGACGCCCAAGAAAAAATCAATCGACTCCACAATTTCTCAGAACAAATTGGACTCCAAATTAACACCGCAAAAACAAAAATTCTAGACCTTACCAACAGTTCAGTTGATATCACGCTGAACAACAACAGCCTTGAAAAAGTCAACAGTTTCACTTGTCTAGGGAGCAAGATGTCATCTACAGGAGATATCGCATCAGAAACACCATTTAGAATAGCACTGGCATCTAGTGCCTTCAATAAACTGTCCAACATCTGGAAATCAAAGACACTTAGCAAACACACAAAACTCAAGATCTTCAATTCTTGTGTGATTCCAGTACTAACCTATGGATGTGAGAGCTGGAAATCAACGAAAACTCTAGACACAAAATTAGACAGTTTTGAAAATAAATGCCTTAGAAGAATACTAAATTTCAAATGGTCAGATTTCCGAACCAATACACAAATAAGGCAAGAATCCAGGCAAGAGTATGTGTCTAATTTTATACGAAAACGCCGCTGGAACTATGTCGGCCACGCCCTTAGAATGGATAAATCAAGACTTCCTTACCAAGCCCTCATTTGGACACCACAGGGGAAAAGATCTGGAAGACCAAGGGAAACCCTACGTAGAACTATCATCAGGGAAGGCTCGCTCATGGGCCACTCAAACATCCAAGACCTACAACAGATTGCAACGAACCGCCATGCATGGAGAGTCATGACCTCTGCCCTATGTGCCGCACTCAACACAAGAGGAAAGACTAACTAACTAACTAACTAACTAACTAACTAACTAACTAACTAAAAAGCTCAAATATTGGGAAGCTGGTTAAACGCGACGATTTTCCTCCCAGCAGAGCACCTACATAACTACCTACCTGCCTACTTACCTACCTGTCTACTTACCTACCTACCTGCTACTTACCTACCTACCTGCCTACTTAACTACCTACCTGCTTACTTACCTACCTGCCTACTTACCTACCGACCTGCCTACTTACCTACTTACCTACCGACCTGCCTACTTACCTACCTACCTATTTACCTACCTACCTTCTTACCTACCTACCTACCTTCCTAGCAGCCCGGTTGATGTAGCACCCAAATAATTACTTTACTAACACCCCTTTGAACGACACCTGTCGCCGAACTATTTGAACGGGTGACATCCGCCCAGATTTCTTAATTAATATTCCCACTTCTGTTATCGATTTTATGTTTCTGTATGTACACTAGTAATTGTGTACTAAATAAACGTTTTCAATATGTGCGAACTCCGTGTGGATCCCGGGGCTAAATTGTGGGGAAAACAAAATAGATCTACTGCCTGTCCAAAAGCATGTTGTAGGAGTCGACTAATTGGGAGCTTCCTTCCAAATCGGATTACATCTGCCTAAGAGGGAAGGAACCAACAGTCTGCATGCAGATGAGTCAGACAAGAGAAACATGAACATGCAACAGTTTCTGGAACTGGACTAGAGTCCAGAAGTGGACGAACAACCAGAACTTTCCGCCGGAGTTTACAGCCGCTGAACACAAAGTAGAATATGTAGGAGTTGCCCAGTGTGTGTGTGTGTGTGTGTGTGTGTGTGTGCGCGCGCGCGTGTGTGTGCGCGTATGTGTGGTGATGTCTCCACAATGGATGTTGGTAATAATGTATCTACTAAAATATCTAAACTCAACAGAAAATTGCATTTGTTTAAAAAATGGAACGTGTTGCTGTTGAATCCCTGATTATTACCAGGTACTAAGGTTTAGTTAACTTATGTAAAATTACAACACTGGTTGGGGGGAGGGGGGGGGGGGCAGACTTACTGCCCCTACATAGCATGTCATAAAGGACTACAAATAAGAGGCGTTTCATGCGAATCAGAGCGCATCTGCCTGAGAGCCAATGAACCATCAGTCCGCATACAAACAAGCCTGATCTGTGAGACGGATGTGGACGCAAAAATGTATCACTGAAACAATGTCAAAGTCCAGAAGTGGACGACCAACCAGAACTTTCCAAATGAACCGGTGAATACTAAGAAGAAGACTAAACAGAATGAGGTTCGTGGCAGACTTGGGAAAATAAGAGTGGTCGTCAGGAATTAGCGAATGGGAATCATTTTCCAGATGATCATAAACAACGCCACAAACATCAGCAAAAACAACAACAGCCACAACAACAACAACAGGATTTTGTTGGAGAAGGGGGAGGGTCATACACGTGTACTTCCGGTGAGAGTACAAACATCTGATAAACTTGACGTCAGGTAATGACATCTCCTGCGAACTGCAGGCAGTCGAGTAATCCCCAGCAGTTGTCGCTTTAATAACACGCAGTCAACCTCGTAGGTAGATATGGATTTTTATCTAATAACAGATGCTGTGATGTACCATGTGTTTCTGTACATACGGAATTAGCTGGAGAGGTTTAAAAAAAAGGATGTGACAGTTTGGACACATATTTTAAATGAGCGCTGCGCTGCGGTGTTTTCAGTTGTCAAGCTGTGTCGTCAGTCTGTTTACAGTCTGCTTGTTTGTGTTGACTGTTTTTTTTTTTTTTTCAATTGTTGTTTATTGCGAGTTTGTGATGCATATATACATATTATAATTATTATTCGAGTAATAACCGTAGGTGTTTTATTTCATAAATTACAGTGATTTTCTTTTAATAAATACCATTCATTATAATAATATACAAAATAATCGCCAAATAATCTAACTGCCGCTGCTTTAGTTTTTGATTTGAATTAGAGACCTAGTGAGTACAGAGGAGTCTCTTAGTTTACAATAAAACTCTAAACTGTGTTGATATTTATACTACTACTCCCCTTGTGAATTCAAGGGTTCAGATTGTGGCAGGAAAATAATAAAAGGATAGATCCCTAATAAGTGTGTCAAAAGAGGCGACTGTTATTTTAAAATTATTAACCCCAAACATGGGAAATCAACAGCTGACAGGATGGTCAGCTATTTCAGGGGGTGGTATCATTTCATTTGCCATGCAGTTTTGAGTTTTGTGAGCTTCTTATGCTGGTTATTGTGCATTTTTTTTCTGGATGTTGGTGCGCAATTAGCTGTATTTTCATTTCTCCTTTTCATGTGAATCTCTAGTGCAGTTAGTATCACATCTACCTTACAATAGAAAGGTGCTGCGTTCAACCCCCACATTACTTTTTTTGTTCAAAAAAATGTAAATTGTAAATTTCAGCTCTTAACCCACTTTCAGCAACGGATCACCCAAGTATTAATTATTTAAAAAAAATAGTAATAACACGTTTAATACAATTAATTATGATTAAAGCAGTATATTTATGTCCCGTGACATCATCATGATGTAATTGGGGTGAATAATTGTGAAAGAATCGGTGACTAATTATGGCTCTTTCCAGTTTCCTTTGAAGTCAGAGTGCATCTGTCTGGAAGGCGAGAAATCAGTAGTCTGAATGCAAGCAAATAGGCCATATCTGTAACTCACTGTAAAACAAATGTGCATGCACAACTCAAGTTCTAGAACAAGACCAAAGTCCTGAAGTGGATGAACAACCCGAACTTCCCACAGGAGTTTACAACCAATGAATGTTAATAACAAGGAAACAAATATGATATTATTTGTATAAACTAATAATTATATAATGTATCATAATTTTAATTACTATTATATGATTGTCAACCATACTTTAACCCTTTCCGTGCTATGGACGTATTTTGCAGTTTACCCATACACTGCTACGCACGTCTCTGGACATTATCTGGTTTATTGGCCTTCCCTGCTGTGGGCGTAAAAAAACTTTTTGGACTTTCCTTACAGATATCCAGGTGCTGTTTTTTTTTTGGGGGGGGGGGGGGGGGGGGGGGGGGTTAATGGGCAATACACATTATCCATTTTCGGATCCAGTTGACTCATGTACATGTGATTTGTAAGCCTTTTGCATCAAGTGATATGTATGTGGTTTGAGTTTGTATGAAATAAGTGTGAAACTATGACATAATTTAGTTAGTTACTTAGTTGCCTATCCTTTACAGGACATTGCAGAACAAATGCCAGCATCTTTTGGCTGTTGTAGTTTTTCTAGACAAATTTACATCCAGTAGATTGTGATTGCTTTGTGGACAGTCAGCTTCTCATTACCACTGCTGAAACTAACGCAAGGCCTACAGCTGGGATCGAACCTGACACCCCAGCATTACGATACGCGTTCGCAACGCCTAAGCCACAGACGGCGACTATGACTTAGTTACAGAAGTTAAATCCATATAATTTAATTCTTATTCAAGACAGGAGACATTGTAACCAACTTCTCATGGGAGCAGTCAATATAGATACTTTAGGGTGGCTGTCACATCATTGTACCTAGCATACACACACAGAAATGTCCAGTTTCCCACAACAACAATTGTAATAACATAACATAATTCTCATTTTTATGTCTGTAAACAGGAACATGGGTTCCGTTATGTTACTGGCTGGTGTCCTTGTGTCCTTGCTGATGTGCCCATCACTGGGAAAGCCTATTAAAGGACCTCCTCACCGGAAACCAGTAGAAGGGGGATCTCCAGAAAATAGACTTGATGTGAGCTGCTTGTTCTTGTATCTGTAATTTATTTTTAGTGTAGTGACCAGTGCAGTGCTTGTAGATGCTAACCTGTTTATTTAAAGGTTGTGGGTTTAAATCAAAACAGAGCCGGACTTGTATATAAAAAAAAACAGACCTTCATTCTCGGCTCGACCAGGCCTCAAATGGGTACCAGGTAAAATCCTGGAAAGTAAAAGGGGGCCGTCATGATCTTGACGACTTCACCCACCAATGCTGACTGGTTTATAAATTATAGGTCTAGCCTTATATGCCTAATACATCTGAAGGCTGTCAAAAGGGTACTTTACCAGTGCCTGAAGAGCCTTTCAGATGAAGCCCTTCGATTCCATGATTTGTTAAAAATAAATCCCTAGAATTTAAGTATCTAGGTCCATGGATAACATCCAGCACAAGAATGTGTCACAGGGAAAAATAAAAGAATAGGACAGGCTAAAACTGCATTTTTAAAATTAACAATTAATACAGTAAATCTGTGTCACTGAAGGATAGACAGAGAATTCTCACATACTGTATAGAACCAGCTTCAGTATATGGCTGTGAATCCTGGACAATTAATAAACAAACAAATAATTTCTTGAGGCCTCAAAAGTATGGTTTTACAGAAGAATCCTTATAATTCCTCGGACAGCGCAAAAGAGCAGCCCAGATGTTTAGAAAGAGGCAAGCGCTCGAAGAAAGCTTATCACAGACATCAGAAGAAGACAGTCGTAATTTTTAGGGCCATGTTATTAGTAGAAGGGAACTGGAACTTGTGAGCCTGGAAAGTTACAGAGGAAATTATCTCAGATTGTACAGGCAAGATTGCAAACACCTATTGGCAAGGCACTAGGTGATGATGATAATGAGATCCCTAGAATGTTGTCTTGAGGCAGGCAGATTGATTAAATTTATTATTGTGATTTGTTTGTTTGGTTGTGACTGTAGTAGATATCATCAAAGACCTACTGCGACCCTCCTCCAACAGTCATGTCTCGTAAAGTCAACTAATTAGGGTTGTTTCCTTTAAAGTCGATGTGAATTTGCCTGTGAGAGGCAAGAACAGTCTGCATAAAAATAAGCCAGATCTGTAAAACAGATGTGCCTGCTTAACTCATGTTCTGAAACAAGACTAAAGTCCAGAAGTGGACGAACAACAAAAACTTTCAGCTGGAGTTTACAGCTGGTGAACGCTAAGAAAAAGAAGCAGGCACTTCAAAATCCAGACATGAAACTATATTTGCAGTTTCCCATCTTTCCAGACAATAATGTGGTATTCTTCAGTAGGAATGCAAGGGAACAATGTTCCTCAACCCTGAGCTGTTGCAACAATGTGAGAAAATGATGTTGCTTTTCACATCTTTAGAATATGTACTTCTGATGTGGGCTTTTTATCATTTCTGATCCGAATGGATTTCTGCAATTGTCGGTCCAAAGCATGGGTGAGAAAGGAGAAGGGTTTGGACGTGGGACCAGTTCTTCCACCCTGTAAAAAGTGTATTTGCTGCAAAAACTTACAGCAAAGGATGCCATTCTGGTCAACAAATGGGTCAAGTTGTGTGTGGTCATAAAATGAGGTAAATTTAGGACGAGTAAAAAAAAACAAAAAAACAAGAGACATGTCTGGGTAATCACTAGTATCAGTAGTTATAAGACAGAGAAGATTGCGACATATAATGGCACAACAGGGTGATTACGATGATCTGTATTGGTTTATTTCCAGACTGACCTGCCTTATGATCAGTATCTTCGGGAAGTTGTTGAGGTCTTGGAAAGTGATCCAGGATTCCGGAAAAAACTGGAGACGGCAAATATTTCTGATATCAAGGTTATTACTATTATTATTCATCCATCTTTTTTTTTTTCTTGTTTGTTAAAAACTGATTTCTTCTTTTTCTTCCTTCAGCTTTTTTGTCTGGGGATATGATTTTGGCTTATGGTGCGAAACGTCCTGGGTTCAAATCTCAGATGCGCCCACACTTTTTTGAAGGGCCTCTGTGCCCATTTCCTAATTCTTTCAAATGAAATTTTCTTTGCTGATTGATATTTTGGTTTTTGTTTTCTTCTTCTTTTCCTCGTCTTCTTTTTCTTCTTCTGTTTCTTCACGTCTGTTTTTAATTCTTCAGGTGCAAAGCTAGAGCACATATCTCCCAGCTCTCTCCTGGATATGATGCCTCATAGATGTGTGTGTTGTTTGTATTATCAGGTGTTTCCCAGCAGTTGTCTTTATCTGTCTCTCTTGATTGGTATTCTGTATGTTTCTGTGTCTTGGTATTGTTCTGTCTGTATGTGTGTTTCTGTGTCTTGGTATTGTTCTGTCTGTATGTGTGTTTCTGTGTCTTGGTATTGTTCTGTCTGAATGTGTGTTTCTGTGTCTTGGTATTGTTCTGTCTGTATGTGTGTTTCTGTGTCTTGGTATTGTTCTGTCTGTGTGTGTGTTTCTGTGTCTTGTTATTGTTCTGTCTGTCTGTGAGTGTGTTTCTGTGTCTTGGTATTGTTCTGTCTGTCTGTGTGTGTGTTTCTGTGTCTTGTTATTGTTCTGTCTGTATGTGAGTTTCTGTGTCTTGGTATTGTTCTGTCTGTGTGTGTGTTTCTGTGTCTTGTTATTGTTCTGTCTGTCTGTGAGTGTGTTTCTGTGTCTTGTTATTGTTCTGTCTGTCTGTGTGTGTGTTTCTGTGTCTTGTTATTGTTCTGTCTGTGTGTGTGTTTCTGTGTCTTGGTATTGTTCTGTCTGTCTGTATGTGAGTTTCTGTGTCTTGGTATTGTTCTGTCTGTCTGTGTGTGTGTTTCTGTGTCTTGTTATTGTTCTGTCTGTCTGTATGTGAGTTTCTGTGTCTTGGTATTGTTCTGTCTGTATGTGTGTTTCTGTGTCTTGGTATTGTTCTGTCTGTCTGTGTGTGTGTTTCTGTGTCTTGGTATTGTTCTGTCTGTATGTATGTTTCTGTGTCTTGGTATTGTTCTGTCTGTATGTATGTTTCAGCATGTGTTTATAGGAGCAGCAGTAGGCTAGTTGCCCCAAGGTCTTGGATTTGAATCCGCATCCAGGCAATTTTTCCTTTAAAAAATTAACCTTGGCTGCCAAGTTGACTCAGTCAAGAATGGGTGTGAGGTAATATCCTGGGAAGTAGAGGCGGCCAGCATGATGTTAACCACATCACTCACCAAGTGCTGATTGGTCTGAAAAAATACGAGTCTAGCATCATATGTACGATGCACAGCTGGTGTAGAGGGACATGTGCTAGCACATATTTACCATATACGTTACGGAATGCATACTTAATGTTTGAAAATTAAGACAGGCCAAATATAAGACAAGTTTGTGTGCCAAATTTGGGGCCCATTGAGGCTAAAATTTAATTTGTTTGCATATGTATATACTAAATCAGCTGCCTCAGATTTAGGTAATCGCTTCTGATATACAGGAAAGGCTAAAGAACGTAAGTGATGTCACCTCTGGTGGCTGCCTTTCGCAGTTGATGCATGTTCTGGCTGTTGTATTTTGCCTGGACTGATGTCTGTGTGACTTTTCACAGAGGATAGCAATGGGCATTTTGTTTGGTTTTCACTGACACCTGAACCTGATTAAAAGCGGTGTGACCTGTTTATGTTGAAGCTGGAACCCCAACATTATGGGGGGGGGGGGGGGGAGTCTGTGATATAGTTAGGGATGTTTTTGTGAATGCTTCGATGAATTTGCATAAATATTTCTTAAACCAGAACGGGAACATTGCAATGCACCTTGAGATGGTCAACCATACAGTTCGGACACGTCTGGATGAGCTCAAACGACGGGAACTGGCCAGACTTCAGACGTTGGCTCGAGCGGAGATGCAAGGCACGTCTGGTATTGACTTGATTATGAATGCAATGAATAGAGGTAACTTGACCGGCCTTGCCCCAGTTCTGATGCTCCGGTTGTTTTAGCACGGGTCTGGCAGCTTTTTCTGTTTGTTCCTGTTCAATTGACTGCCAGCACTTTTGTTTTTATTAATAATTCAGTTTGGGAGCGATCGACGGAATGGTTAAGAACGCTGGGTTCTCATCTGGTAGACCCAGGTCTGCATCCTCGGTAAGATATTAAGCTTCTTCCTGTTGAGGGCGAAAGTAAAATCCTACCCTGCACAGTCCGTGCCAGTTGCACTAAGTGGTAAATAGAAGCAAAAGTGACGGTTCTTTTTGTTCCATATACTACACCTTGTTTGATTGGTTACTCTCCATGTGTATCAGTGAGTGCACTGCTTCTTCTTCTTCTTCTGTTTGTTTTCCTGCCACTGGTTTTCAGTTGAGAAACTGCAGGCCTCTGTGAAAAGCTGTGTTGCAATGCATGTGCTTTACTGATCTGTACAGCAAGTTAGTCAGACTGGGGATCTCTCTGCTGCTTGTCTGTAGCATATTAGCTGCTGTTATACTGTGGGATTATCAGTGTTGGTGCATCTGACAGCTGCCTTCTGCATGTTCAAGCTTCAAGAGTTTGCTGGAGCTGACACAAGTTTTTAACTACTTTTTAAATAAAACATTTTGAGTGATGTCCACTGGCACAAGAGTGGAGCAGTGATGTTGGATCATCAACCAGGACTAACAGTTTCAGTATTAAATTAATTGTACCAGGCAGACAAGCAAAAAAAAAAAAAAAAAAGCAAACTTAATAAAAGCTTATAAAATGGGGGGAAACATGTGAGTTGCAGGCAATTGAATAACAAAGGATAAGACTTGGCACAGGGCCTGGGCTACAGGGGAAACATAGATGAACTATTGTTAATTTTCTTATTATAAAGAGTGTGCAAATGGGAGATGAAGGGTACAGGTACTGAGGTGGATTTTTGGGAGCAGGTTAACATGGACGACTGTATTGCATATTGGGGGGAAATCAGGAATGGAATAGTTGTAATGGAAAAAAATTATAGATAGATTACGAGCTGTACCTCTAAGAAAAAGCATGTTCAGTACATGTGATGACAACAGTGATCCTGAAATCTCTTGTTGTGTTTGTGGAAGACTTTTCTAAATGCGAGCGGGTCTTGCTAGTCTCACTGTTGACTGTAAATCCCCTGCTTCTGTGTAGTACAAAATAACACAAAACTTCAAACTCCAACAACAACAAAAACGGTCAAGTTTATTGCAAGAACTTGTTTGTGTAAGTCGTGGAAGCTAACGCGAAAAGAAGAACACTGAAAAGACAGAAAACTGCATTAGGAAACAAAAAAATAATTAGCCAGTTGAAGATATACAAACTCAACTGACTTTCTGTCTGTCTGAACAGCGAAGACCCAGGGCGGCACAAGAAAATTTGAAATCCCGTCTCATCTCGACCTGGTTAACCCTCACAGTTTTGAGATGGAAGACCTGAAGAAACTGATTATACAGGTGAGTTGTCAGTGTTTGTCTTTCCTTCACATTCCTCCTCTAGGGCTTAACAGCTTATAAATTCATGAATATGTTTATAACAGTTCCATATCTGAGTACTGTAGTTTGATTTTCACAGAGTTCACTGGCTGGCTCTGCACAACTTGGTGGAATACTGATGCATGATTAGGCAGACGTGGTTAGTGCCTTGTGGGAAAGCATGTACAGTTCATAGAAGCAGATGGATCACCACAGACTGGTGAGATTGATGCAGCGGGGAGTGACGAGGGGGTTCTGGCCGGGGCTTAGAGGAAAAGCAAGATGCATGTTTAATCAGAATGCTACTGGCACCATAAGTATTCGAACCGCACTGACTGCTGAAGATGGGGGCGGAGCGCTTATGAGAATGCCCCGAGTTCTGTGATGTCAGTTCTTGAATCACCTCAATGGAGTTTAAAAAAAAAAACATACCAAAGGTGTATTTATCATTACATATTTGCTGCAATAGTTTTGAGTAAACAGTAGCTGCAAGAGTTTGTTTCATCCTTCTACTTCATATTTAAGGGGGCCGCATTAGCGCAGTTGATAAGAGACTCGCTTTCAAATCCAGCTGCGGCTCACTGCAGCCCATGGCCGGTGTTCTAAACATAATAATGAATACCAGAGCTACCACCCTGGGGAAATAGACGAAATTGGATGTGGACGGGGACACAGGCGGACAGTTTCTTATCAGCTGTCCGTACTGGTGGCAGAGCACTTGTGGTTTATAACCCTGTGCAGTGACGCAAGTTTCACATCTCCCGACTTTACCGCTTTTGATAAGAAATAAGACAATTTTGAGAACAGATGTCTTAGAAGAATACTGCTGGACAGATTTCAGATCCAGTACGCAAATAAGACAAGAGACAAAGCAAGAAAATGAATTTAAATTTTATAAGAAAGCGCCACTGGAATTACATTAGCCATGCAGTCAGAATGGATAAGACAATGCTCACCTATCAAGCCCTCATATGGACACTGGAAAGAAAAAGGGAAAAACCAAGAGAGACTGAGTAAAACCATCATCAGGGAAGGCTCAACTATGGCTTTATGAATACCCAAGACCTAAATCAGGTGGCAGCGAACCGTCAGACATGGAGAGCTATGACCTCTGCCCTATGCGTCGCCTTAGGCACAAAAGGAAAGACTAACTGACTGACTGACTAATACCAGGTTGTAGCTTATAGTCATGGTTTTATGTATTTGCCATGCACTTCTTGGATAGTTGCTTTGCTAATCTTTTTTGAGATTTTCAGCTACACCATTTATCTATCTCTTTCTTGGTCTTCCCCTCACCTTCTTCTCAGATGTTCTGTTGTAAAAAGTCTCATATTTAGTTTGATCTGACCGCATTCTCACTAGGCATCTGAACCATTTCATTCTTTGTTTGTCAGTAAAATGCACACACCATCTTATTCTAACTTTCTCTCTAATGCTGGTATTCATAACCTTGTCTCTTCTTGTGTTGTGGTCTCTGTTAAGAATGTTCTCATTTCCTCAACCCATTTGTTTTCCATTTCATTGCCTATTTAGAGATTGTCTCTGATTTTACTCATGATATTCCCACTATATTGCCTTCTTTTTTCTTGTAACTTTATTCAAGCAGTAGTCCAGACATTTCTCTGATTTATTAACCTGACTTGAAATCATCCCATTTATCTTTATCAATTTCCTTAGACTTTTGTTTCTTGACTTTGGCAGTTCTCCTACTTTCATTGGCACAAAATGAAATTAAAATATCATTAGAATTAGAGGTATGTAGCTTAAGTGACATTTCTCCCTGTCTGGCTGGAGAGAATGATGTACCTGGGTGTGATCAGAGGGTTCAGCCGGCTTACTACGCTCAGAGGAAAAGCAGGACATACAAACAACCAGACAGTGACCGGCACCATTAGTATTGGAACTCTGTGCTGGCTGCTGAGGATGGGGTGGAGCGCATATGGAAATGCCCCGAGTGCTGTGATTTCAGTTCTTAGCGAAACTCAAAAACTCAATTTTTCGCCGTTTGTTAATTGTTTTGCATACATTTTCAGACCACCTCTGATCTAGAAGAGTTGGACAAGAAAAGAAAAGAGGAATTTAAAGAGTATGAGATGGAGAAAGAGTTTGAAAAGAAGAAACATCTGAACGAGTTGTCAGAGGAGGAGAGAAAGAAAGAAGAGGCCCGACTGGAGGAACTAAAGAAGAAACATGCTGATCACCCAAAGCTGAATCATCCAGTATGTTTAATGTCTTGTATACTTGTATGTTGGTGTGGCTGTATGATTTCTATTGAAACAGTATGTTTGATGTTTTGTATACATGTATGTTGGTGTGGCTTATGATTTCTATTGAAACAGTATGTTTGATGTTTTGTATACATGTATGTTGGTGTGGCTTATGATTTCTATTGAAACAGTATGTTTGATGTTTTGTAGGCTTGCATGTTGGTGTGGCTGTGTGATTTGTGTTGAAGCAGCATGTTTGATGTTTTGTAGGCTTGTATGTTGACGTAGCAATATGATTGCTATTGAAACAACATGTTTTATGTTAAGTAGGCTTGTATGTTCATGAAGCTGCATGATTTCTGTTGAAACATCATGTTTGATGTTTTGTATACTTGTATGTTGGCGTGGCTGTATGATTTCTATTGAAACGGCATGTTTGATGTTTTGTAGGCTTGCATGTTGGCATAGCGATATGATTGCCATTGAAACAGCATGTTTGATGTTTTGTACCCTCATGTGGCTGTGTGATTTCTGTTGAAAAAGCATGTTTCATGTTTTGTAGGCTGGTATGTTGGTGTGGTTATATGATTTCTTTTAAAACAACATGTTTGATGTTTTGTAGGCATATTGTCGTGGCTGTGTGATTTCTGTTGAAATAGTATGTTTGATGTTTTGTAGACTTGTTTGCTGGTGTGTATGTACAATTTCTTTTGAAATAGAATGTTTGATGTTTTATAGGCTTGTATGTTGGTGTGGCTGTATGATTTCTATTGAAACAACATGTTTGATGTTTTGTGGGCTTATATATTGGCATAGCGATATGATTGCCATTGAAACAGCATGTTTGATGTTTTGTACCCTTGTATGTTCATGTGGCTGTGTGATTTCTGTTAAAAAAGCATGTTTGATGTTTTGTAGGCTTGTATGTTGGTGTGGCTTTATGATTTCTTTTAAAACAGCATGTTTTCTGTTTTGGAGGCTTTTATGTTGGTGTGGCTGTATGATTTCTATTGAAACAGTTTGTTTGATGTTTTGTAGACTTGTTTGCTGGTGTGTCTGTACAATTTCTTGTGAAACAGAATGTTTGATGTTTTGGAGGCTTGTATGTTAATGTGGCTGTGTGATTTCTGCTGTAACAGCATGTGTGGCTTATGAGATATTGAAAATCCAGTATGGAATAATCTGTCACTTTTTATTGTTGCAGTAACAGCAGCAATGTCTTTAGAAATAGTAGCAGCAAAAAGTAGTCAGAGTAGTAGTATTAATAGTATTAGTAGTAGGTATAGAGGTTTTAGTAGCAGTTTTACAAAAAGAAGTAAAAAGCAGCAGTAGTATTAGTAATAGCAGATTCAGAAATAGAAGTAAAGAAGTTATTATTTTCAGTGGTGGTAGGAGTAGTATTAGCAGCATCAGTAGTAGTAGCTGTTTTAGAGGCTGTGGTAGTTAGTAGTATTAGAGGTATAGTAGTATTAGAAGTTGTGGTAATAGTAGTAGTGTTAATAGTAGTAGTAGTGTTAATAGTAGTAGCAGTGTTGGTGGTGGTAGTAGTGATGGTTGTGGTGGTGGCAGTAGTAGCTTTACAAATAGATGTAGCAGGAGCTTTAGAAATAGAATGATCAAAAAGCGCAATAGTAACTTAAAAATGATAGTAGCAGTGGTCAAACTGTGGGAGTGGTTGCCGTGGTATAATGTTTCTTTCTGATCTCTCCAGGCCAGCAAAGACCAGTTTGAGGAGGTTTGGGATAAGGTGGATCATCTCGAGGAGCAGGATTTTGACCCAAAGACGTTTTTCTTCAAACATGGTTCGTTATTTCATAATTCTCTTTTCCTCCATGGGTGTTACTTTTGAATCTGTTGTTTAAATCTTGTGGAGGAAATGCGGTGCCATGGATGTTTGTTTAGTGTCCTATGGAAAGTTCTGGTTGTTTGTCCACTTCTGGACTTTGGTCTTGTTCCAGGATTTGAGTTTTGCATGCACATCCATTTTACAGATCTGGCTTTGTTTTTGTGTGCAGACTCTTGGTTCCTTGCCTCTCATGCAAATGAGAAAAATGTCAGCCTTGTCTGCACTGTCCAAGCCTCTAGTTAGGAACCTCTTTCTAGGCTGACCAGTGTGAACCTTGGTCCTCGTGCACCACCACATGTGGTTCAGCACTGCTGCATCCTTGGTGGGCATCAGTTGGCAGTGAAATACCTCAAACCCAAGTACAAGCTCCTGTGGAATAGTTTTAGAGTGCACGCCTGCCAAGTCAGGGGTCTGGGTTGAATTCTTAATAGGAAGTTTTTTTTTTTTTTTTTAAATTTTGTCCCCCTGAGAAAAATGAAATCTAATTACTTCCTGTTGTGACACAGTGCCATAAATGTCAGTGCATTGCCATGTCTGCAGTGACTTGTTCTTGAAAAGTGCAGTTTAATGCCATCTGTGTGTACCTGCACAGTGTTAAGGAGACCCAGATATAAATATATTACCTAAAAATAGCATTAGAGTGGGAACAAAAAAAAAGGGCGGGGGGGGGGGGGGGTGTTTCTTTGTGAACCAAGTAGCTTTATAGGGGTTTCTGGAGTGTCAGATACTAGTTGTACCTCTGACTGGCAAGGGAGACTATCACCACCCAAAAAAGAGTATTTTATGGCGAGCTTCAGCAAGAGAAGAGGTTCCAGGGAGGACAGGAGAAGCGCTATAAGGACACTCTCAGAACTGCTCTCAATTCTTCTGGCATCAACACAGTGACATGGGAGGCTGTTGCACAAGATCATTGTGGATAGCCTACATCCTTCAGGCAGCGGAGGTTGCACAGGCAGAGAAACGGAGGCAGACTAGATAGAACCGTATCGCTAATCCCACACTTACTGCGACCTCCACCTGCTATCCGCACTGCTCAAGAACTTTCCAGGCTCATAATAAGCCTCCTTCCTACTCTTAATCATTTATCATTACTACCTTAAATTAAAAGTGGTTTTCATCACTCATGATGGACAAACAACAACAGTGTTGTAAAAGCCAGGTTTGATAGCATTTTGTGGCAAGCCTCAATAATAGAGATCACTGGGTCACAACATGCGCTACCCAGTCATATTTATTTTCGGGCACATTTCTGATGTCAGTGTATGCCATTTAATGCTCCTCTCTTTTCGTGTTTACTGATGTTTACCAATGTTTTTAAAATATGGTTTTTATTAGTTTTTATGGCCCAAATATACACTGATTGGCCTTTCATTTGTGCTTTCTCACCGGTCACACAGTCTGTTGCAAGGTTGTCACATTGTATTGTCTTCACAAAATTGTCTGCATTAAGTCTTACTCGTTGTTGTGAACAGCAGCTGGTGACATTGCGTTTTACTCATTTTTGTGAACGGCGGTTGGACGGAAAGGAATCACTCTCTCATGGGACATAGGCTGAGGCTGTATGATTGGGGGGGGGGTTAGGGGTTAGGGCCAGTTCTAGATGTGGAGTTGTCCAGGTAATATAGAACACAATGGTGATAGCACTGAGATAATACAACGTGACACCCCTGTAACATTTACTAGCCTGTGTGACGGGGGAGCAAGAGTGAATGAACGGTCAACTAGTGTGTATTTGGGCCTGAAAACATCAAAAGAACCAAAAATATAAGTAAATGCAGTTTTAAACAGTTTATTAGTGACCTTGTAAAATGTTTTTTTTTTTTTCAAGAATTTTTCTTCAGAAATTTCCACAGTTCACCGGCTCCTCATTTTTTTGTTAAAGGATTCACAGAATGAAAGGGTTAAACCATTGCTACCCTGGAGATGTCCTCTCACCATAAAAATGAGAGGCCAGACAATATTCTGTCGCATCCTTACATACCAAGACTTAAATTATTTACTGGTCTGTTTGCCATTTGCTTCTAATGCTGTTAAATTCTGCATTATTTTGCCTAGTTCTTCTCTGGCTTTTATCCATGATACAAACGTGTGAAGTTACGTGGATATTCCTTGGTCTGTTTCAGATTTGAATGGGGACTTTGAATGGAGCGTTGAAGAAGTGGATGCTGTACTTCAGCTTGAGGTGAGTGTTTGTGTTTTGTTACTGTATGTTCGATACTGATAAGTAATGGTTTATTCCTGCATGATCTGAGCATCAAGGAGAATTGGCTGATAAACAGCATCCTGTCCTGAAAGCTGAGGTAATTTGGCCATGTTCACCGTCATGGTGGCCTGGAGAGAGCAGTGATGGAAAACGAAGCAGAGGCAGACCTCCACAAGTGTGGATACAAGATGCTGACAATACATTGGCTATGAAAGTACATAGTGCTGAAGAATTGGGTAGGGAAGGAGAGACTTTCAGGTGTGCAGTGTTGAGAGCGACGTTTTATAAAGGACTTGCTGATTGATGATGAGTTAATAATATTGGTTAATGTTGGAGCTATCTACCCCAACATTTGAACAAATTTACTCAACCAAACCCTGTATCTAATGTGAATCCTACCTACTCAGCATTTGAATAAATTTACTCACTAATATCTAACATCCTTCCTGTCTACTCAACCAAACCCTGATATCTAACATGATTCCTGTCTACTCAACATTTGAACAAAACTCACCCAGACCCTGATTTCTGACAATATTCATGTTTTCTCAGCCAAACCCAAATATCTAACAAGATTCCTGTCTACTCAACCATACAGTGATATCTAACATGATTCCTAACTACTCAACAAAACCTGATATCTTATATGATTCCTGTCTACTCAAGATTTAACCAAAATTACTCAACCACACTATGATATCTAATATGAATCCAATCCACTTTCAACAGTTAGACAAAGTTTACGATGCCAGAAACTCACCAGATGAAGATGACCCCGTGGAGAGACAGGAGGAGATGAATCGAATGAGACAACATGTCTTTGAAGAAATTGATAAAAATAAAGATTATAGAATCTCTCTCGGTGAATTCCTGAATTACACGGGCAAGAAGGGAGATGAGTCAGAGTTCAAGAAAGATGAAGGCTGGGATGTAAGTGAACTTTTTGATTTGTTGATTCAGTGCTGTTGTTATGTAAGTGAATTTGTTAATATGTCGGTTCAGTGTTGCTGGGATGTAAGTGAATTTGTTAATATGTCAGTTCAGTGTTGCTGGGATGTAAGTGAACTTTTGATATGTTGATTCAGTGTTGCTGTTATGTAAGTAAATTTGTTAATATGTCGGTTCAGTGTTGCTGGGATGTAAGTGAATTTGTTAATATGTCGGTTCAGTGTTGCTGGGATGTAAGTGAACTTTTGATATGTTGATTCAGTGTTGCTGTTATGTAAGTGGACTTTTGATTTGTTGATTCAGTGTTGCTGTTATGTAAGTGGACTTTTGATTTATTGATTCAGTGTTGCTGTTATGTAAGTGGACTTTTTATTTGTTGATTCAGTGTTGCTTGGATGTTAATGAACATTTTATATGATGATTCTCTGTTGTCAAAAATCAAGTTATCAACTTACTTTTCTTTGTATTTCACCTAGATTTTTTTTTAAACATCTACTGCACTGAGTATTATTATTATTATTTAGAAAGGAAGCATAATTAGGACATCTTCCAGTATTTTTACCAAGACCTAAATTTGTTGACAAAGTTCTAATTTTATTTTTATTATTATCAATGCTACTATCATTATTATTTTTACTGTTATTATTATTATCTGTTACATGATGTATGAATTAAGAGAGTCTTAGACGAATCTTTGAACCCATGAAAGATGCAAACAGCAGGAAAATAGAAAGTGAGAAGCAACAAATAAATTCATAGTCTGTTTAATTCACCTTGTAATTACCAGCATCGTGAGGCCTGATACACTGCAGCGCTTGAGGCATATATAGAGCATGACAGATAACCGAGACAAAAACTGCATACACAAAGGAGTTGAATGGGTCTAGATCATAAGGTCGACCAAGAAGACGGTGGAGAGACAAGTACACAGGCAGACCTACAAGCACTTGAGGTCACCAACTGGAAAGAGAAAGTCACAAAGATGCATGAAGGCAGGTAATATCTGCAGCTTTCAACCTCAAGGGCTCAGAATTCTGAAGCATTAGAAGAAATACTGCCAACATAAGTTTCAACATGAAATTCTATTATTGCAGCATCACTTATAACTTTTGAAACATCTTCTCTTTCATTTCCTCTTTTATTGCTTCTGATGCTGAAACTATTTTTTTTTTCTTTCTTTTTCTTCCCCAGACCATTGAGAATGAGCCAGTTTTCTCAGAGGAAGATTACCAAAAATTTTTAGAGTCTCATCACGGGGTTGCTGAGGGTGGCAAGGTGAGTGTTTTTAGGCTGTCACTTAAGGGCAAACAGGCAAATGTTTTAATGAAGAAATTAGAAAAAAAACTAGGACTGAAACGAGTGATACCATTTATTAAAGAACAACAGGGACAAGAATGCTTTGGTACCAGCTGCCTCAAAGAGCCATGGTGAAGAAATATAACATCACAGATCATGGAGATGACATGCAGTAATGGAATGATGGCATCAAGTAATGGAATGATGGCATCAAGTAATGGAATGATGGCATCAAGTAATGGAATAATGGCATCAAGTAATGGAATGATGGCATCAAGTAATGGAATGATGGCATCAAGTAATGGAATGATGGCATCAAGTAATGGAATGATGGCATCAAGTAATGGAATGATGGCATCAAGTAATGGAATGATGGCATCAAGTAATGGAATGATGGCATCAAGTAATGGAATGATGGCATCAAGTAATGGAATGATGGCATCAAGTAATGGAATGACGGCATCAAGTAATGGAATGACGGCATCAAGTAATGGAATGATGGCATCCAGTAATGGAATGATGGCATTAAGTAATGGAATGATGGCATCAAAATTGTAGAAAGGAGGTCTGCATTACACATCACATCTGAAAGAGCACACAGATGATCCTTAACCCCACAGGAAAAAATTTCACTGATGTAACTGAAGAAGAGAACAAGAAGTATTATTTTTTTGGATGAGCTGGTGAATGCTTTCTTGCTGCAACTTCCATTCTGTCACTTGTGATCTTGAACTTATCAAGCTGATCATGTCTACTTTCTGTTTTTGTTGAATTAAGAATAGAATTTCTTTAGAATTATATTTTTTTCTCTTCATAATTGTATAGTAGTAGCTTGTGGTTATGCCTCTGGTGCTTTGTGCTATATATCACTCTGATGCTGTGTGCTATATATCACTCTGATGCTGTAGGCTATATATCACTCTGATGCTGTGTGCTATATATCCCTCTGATGCTGTGTGCTATATATCACTCTGATGCTGTGTGCTATGTATCACTCTGATGCTGTGTGCTATATATCACTCTGATGCTGTGTGCTATTATCACTCTGCTGTGTGCTATATATCACATTAAACTCTTTCAGGATCTCAAGTTTCAGTCGGAACAAATTCGGGGACAAGTGCACCATGTGCCACCTCAAGATCAGCAAGGACAGGCTCCTAACCAGCAGCCACGACACCCAAAGCATCAGCAGCAACATCCAGAGCATCAGCAGCAACATCCAGAGCATCAACAGCAACACCCAGAGCATCAACAGCAACAACCAGAGCATCAACAGCAACATCCAGAGCATCAGGAGCAATTTAGCCAGCAGGAGCTGCAGAGAGCCCCACAGGTGATCGAACATCAGCCGGGCCAGCGACCGCAGTTCAGCCAACAAGAACAGCAACAGGCTCATGTTGTTGCAAAGCCAGAAGTGGCCGGGCAGACGGAGACGGAGAAAATGCAGCAGCAGATTAAAGAACTGCAGGAGAAGTTGAATCAAAGGTCACATCATTAGCGGGAACATCAAAGGGAGGTAAGGCTTATGACTTTCTGAACAGTTGTGGTTCTTGCAGTTTATTTCGTTGGCGTTGTTTTATGGTTAAATATGTGTGTAGGTGGCTGGTTTTTTTTTTGGTTGGATGGGTAGTTAAATAGCTTGGTGGTTGAGTTGGTTGTTTGAATGGATAGCTGGTTGCTTGGATCGATAGTTGGGTTGGTTCTATGTGTATTTTGTCCGATGAGTGGGTCTTTGTTGGATGGTTGGGTTTGTAAGGATGGATGGGTGAGGTTGGCAAAACAACCTGCCAACCATTCTTATAAGGGTGAACACAGAAGTAAAAGAAGAAGAAAAATTGATCCAGGGCATCAAGATCCATAGTCATGAACATCAGTTCTGTAATGAGTGGGTGGACCAACTGACAAGTATTGTATCAATGCATGCAGGAAGAAGCACGGATAGGGCAAATATCATCAACAATGTACGCACTTGATTAGGGGATAACGACGAATCTCGCACTTACATGCTTGTCTGACCTCAGAATAAAGCATGGTGAAACACTTCCCTCCTGCCTTTGCGGCCATGATAGGAGACATTATAACTAATTCCTCATGGGAATAGTCAGTAGAGGGACCTTGGAGTGGCTGCTGCACTGGGGGACTGAGCATGCATGGGAATGCCTATTGTGCAGTGATGTCGATTGTGGCAACAAAACATAACCTATTCTGTATGATTTGTCAAGCACTTGGTAATGACATCTGTTTTGTTTGTTTTTTACAGAGGTTCTGAAAACTTCAAGCAGCTTATAAACAGTTGAGTGGAGATTATGTTGAGCTTTCAGCTTCCCATTGGTCAGACTGCCTGGTACAAAAACATTGTTCCTATTTATTGTTTATAGAATCTGTCACGTATAATGTTCATTAAATGTTTGCCTATATACACATCCTAAGATGAATCTTGTTGAGAACGAATGAACAAAGTTTTTTTCTTTAGTCCTTATATCAGAGAGGCCAACTGTGCTGGACTGGATTATAACTATGATATTGAAAGGATTTTACAGTATAGAATGGAATGGAGTAGACAGTATGCCCTCTAAGCAGTAAAACAGCTTTTTTGTGACATCTGCCTTTCAGCCGAAACAAATCTTTTTGCAAGCCCTTAATCAGTCACTTTTATACACGTTTTTTAGAGGGCAGAAGGTTAGACAAAAATAAGAAATAAAGCACCTTGTGCATTTTGATCAACAAAAAATAAAATAAAACCCAGACACTTGGGAGTCATTCCCCCTTATGTAAATTGGTGTCCAGGATTCTCCTTTTCATGGTGATTCTTGATAAAGGCTTTGGGTCAGAATGTGTGATTATTTTTTGTGTGTGGATGTATTTTCATGATGAAATGGCTCAGCAGTGTTGTCAGGCAAGGGCACTGTGCGGGAAGCCATACAAGAATATGAAACCAACACAGAACTGGTCTCGTCTGCCGCTACATGCTGCAGGATTTACTGAAGGACAGATCTGAACATTTATGGACTGAATGGTTTGATGTGCACTAAGGATAATATGGTGGAAAAAATAATAGCGGGTGGCATGGTACCAGGAAGGAGGGGCAGGGGCCGACCAACACGAAGATGGGCACAGCATATAAGTGACTTCTTGAGTATGAAAGTGCATGAGGCGGGAGAGTTTCTTTCAGGTAGACCGTGATGAGAGCGACGTTCTGCAAAGGGCTTGCTACGTGATGATGATGTTGTATTTTCATTAACCCCCCTCCACCCACCTTTTTTGCTGAGCATAGTATTTATTGTTTGCCATGGCGTAGACTGCTGTCACCCTTGTTTTCAACACCACGCATGATGAGACTAGTCAAAATGTCCTGCAAGGGCTCAGAATAAAACTGGCTATAAATCCGTGCCCACTTATCTTCAACGTCAAAATAGCACAGAATTCTGATGAATGCATTTAATTTGTTTACTCAGCTAATCCAGTCCGAAGGAACTTGGTTTCTATTTACATGTTTTAGTGTTCATAACTTCTAAACAGACACTTCCAGTCAGTGTGGTGGATAGGCAGGTTCACTATTTTTAGTTGTAGCAAGTTATTGCTTCTGACAATAGTTAACCTTTGCATTTTCTCCATATATAGACTGAAAAGATAAAGTTCTGTTGCCCTGCTACTGAGTTGAGTGTGACTTAACCTTCTTAGACAATATTGGACAAATAGCAACACTCTTGAGTTGAAGACATGAGTACATCAACAGAAAGCAAATCAAAACTGATCAGCTCTACAGGAACTCAATTACAGGTTACACAATGAACATTGCAGCTAAAAAAGCCTTCATAAGCATACGAGAACAAGGATTCTACATGGTGTCCCATGAGTTTCCATACGCAGGAAAACACACTTCGATGCATGTCCTCCACTACTTTAGACTACCTCTAAGCACAGCTGGAGTTAAACTTGTAATGGCATTGGTGGGATGTTTAGTTTTCCTATGTATGGAAACATTTGAGACGCCCTGTAACTAAATTTAAAAAAAAAAATTTTTTCAAACTGCTGCCATTTATCTTCGGTACCAGATAACAACAACAGCAACATAACTGACAGAAAATTATTTAAAACACAACATATTCTAATATCTGAGACACTTTTTCGTAAATACACTTTTTATTGTCACTATTCCTAAAGAATTATATAACATATACAGAGCCACATATTCAAGTCCCATAACTCCAAAGTTTATTAGAGTTATTCAGCATAACCGGTAAAATTGATCAGAAACCCACATACTTGGACAACAGCCTGCTTCAAAATCCTCATTGTTGTCAATGTTCACAGTTAACACATGGCTAGCCACTTCATGTGGCATGCATTTTAACACCTACCTTACAGGTGGCTCATTCAGTATGTAACAACTCAGTGTGCCTCTGTTGGGTCAAGGTCAAATTATTCGGAACTAAATAGTCCTCCTTTAAGTTGTACATTAACCCATTCTGACCCAGTTGTTGCTTTAGCCCTTCCTTTCTCAAAGGGTTATAATTTTAAATTTGTCGCACCAAAACATATTTTAGTTAAAGGAAAACAACTGAGAGTTTAAGTAGCATCTACTTGCTAATGAGAAAGTTGAGATTTGATTTGGCAGTGTTTTTTCCTTTAAATGAGCATGTAAAAAAAAGTATATATATTTTGTGTTTGTTTTTGAACCTGTGACTTCTTAGCTTACAACTGCAAAAAACCTTTAATTATTAATTTAAGAATGCCTCTTTCTGCCGGAAGGAGTTTTTGTTTTTAAGCAATAAATGTTTTGTATAAAGTAATTTGTGTGAAAGCGTTGGATGGGACACACACTGAGAAAGCAGGAGAACAGCATAACTAGAATGTCTTTGCATTGGAACCCACAGGGACATAGGAATAAAGGAAGGCCAAAAAACACATGGAGAAGAGAGCTGGAGAATGAAGTAAGAGAGATTGGGAGAGCTCCATGCAATGGCGAAGGATAGAAGGACTTGGCGTGAGTCAGTTGAGGGCCTATGCTCCGTTGGGGGATAGAAAGGCAGGAGAAGAAGAATTTGTGTGATAACTTTTAACAAAAAATTTTTAATAAATTGTACTACTTCTGGATTGCAGTTTGAAATTTTGACACAGAGGGTCCCCTTCCTACTAGAAGCCCATTAAAGTTATATAAAGGCACATACTGTACCACGTGGTTGGGGCCTTAGTATCTGAGTCTTCCTCTTCTGCTTCGCGTACACCAACTTTGGTGTTCTGGTTGTTCATCCACTTCTGGACTTTGGTCTCGTTCCAGAACTTGAGTAGGGTTTTTGTGGCGGCAGGAGGGGGGGGAGGGGTGAAGGGGGAGTCATGAGACTGAGGCTTTAAGGCCGCTTGGCTAGTGCAGTCGCCATGAACTGTGCAGGTCAGGATTTCTATTTTGCCCTTAATAGAAAAACCTCTATCCCTTAACTGAGGATCAAACCTTGGTTTCCCACGTGAGAGGCCAGTGATCTAACCATTCAGTCAGCTACTACATTTATTTTTAAACTTAAAGACTAAACAAAACATTAAGATAAGACTTAAGTTAACTTCTTCTTAAAGTCCATGCCATATGGCATAGGTAGTCATGTCTATCCACAGCCTTCTGTCTTCTGCACTTTCAGTCAGCTCGGACACAGATGATCCTCCGTGCCATGATGTCAGACTGTCCAGCATTTTCTCTCTCAGTTTCCCTCTACCTCTCTTTCCCTTCAACTTTCCACTGTCACGATACACTCCAGTTTTTTGGTTCTCCTGACGTGACCAAAGAATGTAGATTACCTCCTTCTGATGTGGGCAGTAAGTTCTCTTCATGAGTCAGTTTCTTTTTCAAGACATCTTCAATGCTATATCCTAATTCATTCAGCGTATTCTATAAAAGTCTGTAAAACATCTCCGCAGCTTCCAATTTTTGTTCCCTAATCGACTAACTGTCCATAATTCAACAGTCAACTACTAAACATAAAATTTGCAGGCAAACAGTTGACAAATGAGGCTAAGTTTGGTTTGGTTGCATCCTGTCAACGATTTGCTACTTTGTTAAATGTTATGTATATTCAGCACCATGATATGGCTCAGCAGTGTTGTCAGGCAAGGGCACTGTACGGGAAGCCAAACAAGAATATGAAACCAACATAGAACTGGTGTTGTCTGCTGCTACATGCTGCAGGATTTACTGAAAGACAGACCTGAACATTTTCGGATTGAATGGTTTGATGTGCACTGGAGATAATCTGTCGACTAACTAAAATGAATCTAGACTGATAACATGTAAGTGAAACGGGCAGCAGAACAAGCAGTCACACATGCCATAATCATATCAGACTATGAACAGATAGTCTAAGCTCTAAAAAGGCAGAAAACATTATAAACTCGCACTTAACCACCATCACTTGGATCTACACACCGGGGCATACCGAGTACAAAATAGTGAGTGGACCTACAGACAAGCAACGCACCAACGCATGCCAGAAGAAGCATGGACAGGGCAGACATTGTCTGTCATAACATAACGTAACATAGTAGTCAGTTGAATAGCTTTTCTGGAGGCAGTGCTGGATTTAACAAACGCTAAATAAAAGCTTCTTAGGGCCTCGCAATATGCAGGGGCCTCGACAAATTCCCATCTGTTTTTCCACAATTGCTTTTTCTTTTAATATATTTAAATTGCAGTTTCCTTTTAACAAAGCCTTTTGGAGGATTGCATAATTTCTGTGATCTTGCAAACATATTCTTTAGGATTTCATTTACTAACATTTACTAGCGACAATATATTTATGTTATCCATATATTTAAAAGGTGTAAATATTGTACGGTTTATGGAGATTAACTGATATCATTTTTGGCAGGACCTCAGGGCTTTATGTAGCTTAGGGCTTCATCAGGTCTAATTCCGATCCTTCCTGGAGGTGTAGATCATCATCATCATGTGCCCTGCAAACTGGCGTAGGCGCTCATGCGTCTCCACAGATCATGATCCCTGGTTACCTGGAACAGCTCTCTTGATAATATATTTCCATGCCATCATTTCAGCAGATCCAGCATCATCTCTCTTGGTCTGCCTCTACCCCCTTTTCCACTGATCTTTCCAGTTGTCACGATGTTCTCTAATGTCTCTCTTCTCATTATGTGGCCAAAGAACAGTGTTTGTCTCCTTATTGTTATAGAGATCTACTTTCATTAGCTTCTTTCAAACAATCGTTGTTAGTTACTCTGGCCGTCCAAGGTATTCGTAACATTCGTCTCAGAAACCACATTTCTGTTGTTTTTAAATTCTTTCTAATTTGTTCACTGATATTCCAAGATTTGCTGCCATACAGCAGAACAGGTTCTATGTAACATTTTAGCACCCTCTTTCTGACATTAAATGAGAGCGATTTATGCATATTTTTAATTTTCTTAAATTCAGCTTTCGCTTGACCTATTCTGCTTTTAATCTCTGTCACACATTTTGCATCTAATGTTATGATTGTTCCCAAATATTGGAATTTATTGACTTGGTTAAGTCTTATTCTTTAATTGAGATATCACAGCATGGAGTTATTTTCTTCTTTGATATAGCAAGGCGTAGATACATTAAAAAATATGGAAACAAAAACAATCAAACACAGAAGTTCTGGAGAGACTTGCAAATGAAAAGAGAGCTTATGAAAGAATAAAGTGTCAAGCAAAATATCTTGGCCACACTTAAAAGGCTTAACTGCTTAACTGGCAATTACTGCCTATGTTGACCGATTTTTGCGGTGCTTGCAAGGGTCTTTGAGCTTGGGGATTTAGGGCCGCGTGGCTAGTGCTATGGACTGTACCCCCGACAGACAAATCCATGACCGTACCGAGGATTCAAACCTGGGTCTCCTGCACGAGAGCCCACTTTTCTTAACCGTTCCACCAAAGACACAACACTCTCATTTAAAAAAAGCATAGGAGGGAAAAGTTGAAGGGGAGGAGTAAGAGACAGACAGCAATACAAGTGGGAGATATAACCAGCCGCATCACCAACAAGAAATCTTTGGGGGCTGACAAAGCTTTATATATATTGGGACTCCTTATAATTTTCTAGGGGTGGGGCTCATCAAGATTTAGCCTTGTTTGAGAGTGCACAAATAATAGGTTCTCTTCTTTTAATTCACCCCATCTTGAGGGCTCCAAGATTTTGACGTGGGAAAGTCCAATAGTATAGGGGTGTTAGGGTGTGAACACCGACTAAAAATAACCCTATCCCCTATAATACTAGACTTTCCAGAGAACTTCCCACAAAATCTCAGTCCCTGAGATTGGGTGAACTAAAAGAAAAGTACCAAATAATATGTTCTGAAAAGCAAATAATAATAAAATTATGTGAAATAATATATTTTAAATAATATAAAAATGTATAAACACATATTTAAAAAAAAAAAAAAAAAAAAAACGACAAAAAGAACATATGTGCATGGTTGATTACTCAGTCCCTTTGCAAATTTTCTATAGTGTGAGAACAAAGAATTTGGGGGAGGGGGCGTTTAGCTTTCTAAAAATTAGTAGGGAGGGGGAGTGTTTTTAGCCAGCTGGCTTAGGGTCTGTAGAACCAAGACGAGAGACATGTTGAGGATCCCCTGCAGACAACCTTTACTGTGAAGATGGCACATGATTGATGGATTCCCAAAAAGCTGAGGTTTGTTTACGTTTTATCTTGGCTTCAGAAGTTGAGTTTCTGCAGGCTGCCCAGTTTCGTTTTGCTGACCTCGGCAAGAAGGCTCTTCTGTTCAGGGATGCACAAGCTTAACCTGGCACCTGTCGATGCGGTACCTGCGGATTTCTCCGTGTACAAGATCAATGGCGAGGGGACTTGCTCCGGCTGTGAAGAGAATAATGGAAACTAGGTCAACGTAGGTCCCCTGGGGGAGGGGGGGGGGGGGGTCTGTTTGTTTGTTTTAGTCTCCAGAAGCCAGGAGTTGTTAATGCTTAGGCTCGGTATTATGGATATCGCAACCTTTCGGCCTTGAATCCATTGTAAATACCGTAAATCTGGGAGAAATGTGGCTTTTCTGCCTACCCCCCCCCCCCCCCCCCCCCCCCCCCGGGAGTAAACCTCGGACCACAAGGAGTTCGTCACCCGGTCACCGCGCAGTCCGGTTTAGCCAACTACGCTAGAGAGCCGGGCCCTCTGGGGGTCAAACTGCAGTGATACAGGTCAAGGGTATGCATAATGTAGATTAAAATGAAGTTCAAGCTGTGAAATAATGTTGATTAAATAATGGCAAATTGGTGAATACAATAGTGGCGAATACAGATTAATACGAGGAAGGATGTTGATTGAAATGGTGGCTGGTTAGTTTGACGTTAGTCTCCTTAAAAAGGGTAGGTCACTTTTCATTCCCAAGTTTGTTGGGCTGGTCGACTTTCCCGAATTTACGGTTGTGTCCCGCTCTGTTGTTTGGTTCCTGTGATCTCTTGCATTTACGTTTTCATTCCGAGAAAGAGAATGCCTTGGACATAGGTTGCAGCACTCTAGGGAAGTTGTGTCAGACCCAGTTTCTCCATGTTTTTTGGAGTGTTAAAAGCGCTGGCGTGCTGAAATATACAACACGTGATATCAACGGCATTGCGGAACACCCCCCCCCCTAACCATGTGCGAAGGCCACGGGGCTCAGGAACTGCCAATCAGAAGTGAGCTAGTGTGTATATGGGTGGTATCCGGGGAGACTAACTTCGAACTAACCATGGTGGCTAAAAAAGATTAAATGGGGAAAATGAATATTACAACAATGGCTGATAAAAATCAAGCTATGGAAAAATGTATATTAAAATGGTGGCGAATGAAAATAAATAGGGAAAAAATGTAGATTAAAATGGTGCCTAAGAGAAATCAATATGGGGAAAATGTAGATTAAAATGGTGGCTGATAAAAATTAATATGGGGAACAACGTAGATTAAAATGGTGGCTCATAAATTTCAAGCTGTGGATGAATGTAGATTAAAATGGTGGCTGATAAATTTCAAGCTGTGGATGAATGTAGATTAGAATAGTAAAGGACCCCTTTCCATGCTTTCAGGTGTATTGGGTATACAGGACTAGACCTCTATTTTTACATGGGTAATGTGATCAGCATCACGCCGGCCACCTTTACTTCCCAGGACTACACCTGGTACCCACTCAAGGCTGGGTCGACCTGGGGGAGCCAGTTTTTTTTTAAAGCGCAAAGTAATGGCAAATAATAATCAACACGGGGAAGAATGTAGAATAAAATAGTGGTTAACAGAAATAAGGGCGAGAAAGAATGTAGACTACCAAAGATACAGTCTGTATTGCATTAATATGTAACATAGGCATGATTCACCACATTGCTTTCAGACGGATAAGATTTGGGCCCAGGCTGGGTAAGGTTCCTCCAAGAACTGTAAAAATACAGTACAGACCTGATAAGGAGAACTTATCTGGGGCCCAATAAATATGTTCTTCTTATGAGAAATTTCTCTTATCCAGAGTTCAATCACGTGATAATTACTAGGGATTATAAAAAAAGAATCATTCTTCATAACAGAAATTCGCTAAATCCGAGGTCGCCAAGAGCGGTTTGAATGTATCATTGCAGATTCAATGTCTGTGCAAGAATAGATTCTGGAAATGCTGTTGGCCAGTACATTACCGAACACAACATAAGCCTGACCCCTTCCCGCCAAAACTGGTCTTCGCCCTAAGAGTTTTCCAGCCTAAAATGGGTAGCCGGCAATGTCCGGGGAAGTAAAGATGGCCGGCGTGATGTTGAACACACCACACACCTAGTGCCCGATTGTTCTGCAAAAAAATGGGTCTAACAACATAGGCCGAATGCGCATTGGCATAAACAGGACTTTACTTTTACATATAAGTGCGCTCACACACACGTGCACTCACACACACGTGTACTCACACACACGTGCACTCACTCACACATGCACTCGCACACGTGCATTCACACAAACACGTGCAGTCTCACACACGTGTACTCTCACACACTTGCACTCACACACACGTGCACTCACATACATATGCACTCACACACACACGCACTCACACACACACGTACAATCACACAAACGTGCACTCACACACACGTGCACCCATTTAAACACACACACACACACACACATGTACTCACACGTGCACTCGTACAGAGCGGCGCTAGTACAAGACAACGAGAACTTACTGTAAACGACAGTTCCATAACATTCTTGGGAATATAACAGGGTCCAGCATAGACGTCCTTTGTCAGCGTGTCTTTCCCTTTCCCTGGCAGAGAAAAAATCATCTTTGTATATGTACGTGTCTGATTAGTGAGGGCTCTCGTCATAGCACTCCGGACAGGTCTACTGGTGCTCCGATCTCCTCCTCAATAGCCCCACAAGAGAATGTCCACCGATCACGCCCGTTCTCTGGTGACTAACCAGACGCCTTGTGCCCTCGGTGCAATTTTGAGGCCTGGCTACTCCAGGTTACACCCGGTCTCTGTCTACACGGACAATGATACTGCCTGTCGTCATCTTCTCTGCGAAATGCAGCTTGCATGGTATTAATAACACCATTCCTGTCCAGTGCCGGGTCGGTCGTGGTAACAGCACTTCTTCTTCTTCTGTCTTCTTCTGCCTTTCTATCCCCCAATGGAGCATAGGCTCTCAACCAACTCACGCCAAGTCGTTCTATCCTTCGCCATTGCATGGAGCTCTCCCCATGTCCTTCCCATCTTTCTAACTTCATTCTCCAGTTCTCTTCTCCATGTGTTTTTTGGCCTTCATTTATTCCTATGCCCCTGTGGGTTCCAATGCACTGGCCACCAAATAATCTGCACGCTCGTTGCCTTGAACACCTGCACTGCCAGGTATGATATAGGTTAGGCGAGTTAATCGTGATGCATTTAATCTATTCTTGTCTGACGAAGCCAGCTTGGATTTTATTGAGCATGGGTGCGCGCAAGTACGAGTGTGTTTACGTGTCAATGCTCTTTGATGCATAATGTCATCATCATCATCAACAGCCCTGCTGATAAGAGAGGGCTGTCACGTTTCACCATCTCACACAATCAGGGATCAGCTCAATGCTCTTTTCCTTCACCATCCACACGACGAAGCCTCCGCGTTTTTATCTCGGCCTTCACTGGCTGTAAACTCCGTCGAAAAGTTCTGGTTGTTCGTCCACTTCTGGACTTTTTTCCCCCACTGTTGCCAGTTGTCCCCAAGTTCTCTAGTCCATCGCTTCTCATATTATGTTAAAAGATTTTACTGTCATCTGCCTCGAGCAGGACTGGCTTGATTGTTTTCCTTATCATTTCACAAGATAATTTACGTTCGTCGCGAAAACATTTCCACTCTCAGTAGAGGTTCGTCTTGACTGTTTATTGTTCGTGTCGGTGTTCGTCTTGTCTGTTTATTGTTCGTGTCGATGTTTTGTCTTAACTGTTTATTGTTCGTGTCGATGTTCATCCGGTCTGTTTATTGTTCGTGTCGATGTTCGTATTGTCTGTTTATTGTTCGTGTCGTTTGTCTTAACTGTTTATTGTTCGCGTCGATGTTCGTCTTGTCTGTTTATTGTTCGCGTCGATGTTCGTCTTGTCTGTTTATTGTTCGTGTCGATGTTTTGTCTTAACTGTTTATTGTTCGTGTCGTTTGTCTTATCTGTTTATTGTTCGTGTCGTTTGTCTTAACTGTTTATTGTTCGTGTCGTTTGTCTTAACTGTTTATTGTTCGCGTCGTTTGTCTTAACTGTTTATTGTTCGCGTCGATGTTCGTCTTGTCTGTTTATTGTTCGTGTCGTTTGTCTTAACTGTTTATTGTTCGCGTCGTTTGTCTTAACTGTTTATTGTTCGCGTCGATGTTCGTCTTGTCTGTTTATTGTTCGTGTCGTTTGTCTTAACTGTTTATTGTTCGTGTCATTTGTCTTACCTGTTTATTGTTCGTGTCGTTTGTCTTACCTGTTTATTGTTCGTGTCGTTTGTCTTAACTGTTTATTGTTCGTGTCGTTTGTCTTACCTGTTTATTGTTCGTGTCGTTTGTCTTAACTGTTTATTGTTCGTGTCGTTTGTCTTAACTGTTTATTGTTCGTGTCGTTTGTCTTAACTGTTTATTGTTCGTGTCGTTTGTCTTACCTGTTTATTGTTCGTGTCGTTTGTCTTAACTGTTTATTGTTCGTGTCGTTTGTCTTACCTGTTTATTGTTCGTGTCGTTTGTCTTAACTGTTTATTGTTCGCGTCGATGTTCGTCTTGTCTGTTTATTGTTCGTGCCGATGTTCGTCGTGTCTGTTTATTGTTTGTGTCGATGTTCGTCTTGTATGTTTATTGTTCATGTCGATGTTCGTCTTGGATGTTTATTGTTCGCGATAATGTTCGTCTTGTCTGTTTATTGTTTGTGTCAATGTTCGTCTCGTCTGTTTATTGTTCGTGTCGGTGTTCGTCTTGTCTGTTTATTGTTTGTGTCGATGTTCGTCTTGTCTGTTTATTGTTCGTGTCGATGTTCGTCTCGTCGGTTTAATTTTAATGTCGATGTTTGTCTTGTCTGTTTATTTTTCGTGTCGATGTTCGTCTCGTCTGTTTATTGTTCGTGCCGATGTTCGTCTTGTCTGTTTTTTGTTGGTGTCTCTTGTCAGGTATTTAACAACCCGAGCACTTTTACACCTCTTTTCTCAATGCAAACTGTATTGCCTCTTGTGGACTTCATGTGAAATGTTACTTTTTCTGAATCGTTGTTGTGCCCGCGGCGTGTTGTTGACTGAACTAAAATGGCCGGTGGTCGATTATGTTCACAACGGCGTCTAATTTTGTGGATATAATGCTGGGTTTCGTTATTTACAGTGCCAACAGTGAGCTTGCAACGTTGGTGCCTGACCGTTGTTGTTAGCACCTCTCACAGTTGTCTTGTGCATCTGAACTCTGCGTGTGCAAGTTTCAGGATTTTACTGAGACTGACAAAGTGTTCACTAGTTTCCTACGGAACAGGGAAGGGCATTTTGTGTGATTTCCATTGGTAACAAACATAGCAGTTATGGGGCGGGCTGTCTTCAATATGAAACCTTCCACATGAAATGAACAGCTCACAGTGTCGCACCATGCACTCAACCCAGTAGCTGGGCAACACAACTTTTGGATTGCCGGTTCAGAACTGAGGATTTTGCATCAACAAAGAAGACTGAAACAACTTGTCCAGAGCTTCAGCGGCCAGCAGACTCTTGGTCACTTCAGCCTAAGACAAACATACCCACCTACAATAAGAATGACATCCACCATGTTGGCGCTGATATCAAAGGAGTTTGTCGTCTCCAGGTGTACCAATTCTGCACCTTCTAGTCGGCTCAGGAGGGTGTCTTGTCGCATTCCCTGAAGAAAAGTACAGGTGACTCTGTCAGGAGTGGAACGAACGAACGAACGAACGAACAAACTTTATTTTCAAAGGGTTACAAATTGGGCACGCAGGCCCGTCTGACATTCGGCCCTTCTGAGCACTCATTTTTCAGAGTACCAATACAACGGGAGGAGCAAGCTGGTTAAGTGATCAGGATGCAGCGGTGCCCATTTGCAGCTTACAGCAGGTTGGGGAGAAGGGGATGGCGGGAACTAACACATGACCTCTTGAAAGCATGTCATGAAAGATGGTTATATAATAGTTTGCTGAAAATGGGTGCGTCGTACCAAAAGGTGCAGAAATCAAAGTCTACCTGTAAACCACAGCACAACATGAAGGTTTCTTCACGTTCACCAGCTGTTACAACAGCGGATAGTTCCTTTGGGTAATTCACTTCTGGAGTTTAGTTTTGTTCCAGAACCTGAGTTTTTCCCGCACATCCGTTTTACAGTTTAGTTAATTTGCAAGCAGAATGTTGGTTCCTCCCCTCTCAGGCAGATGCATTGCGACTTGGAAGGAAACACATGTTTGTTGGTGGGGAGAGGGCGCGAGCGGGGGGGGGGGGGGGGCAGTGGGTCTATTCTTTTCCCCCTAACAGTGGGGCTCTGAAACCCACACAGGGATCCTGTGAAGTAAGGACGGCCTGTATGATGTTACACCCTTAATGCCGACTGGTCTGTAAATCAGGACTAGCATCATATGCTCGATGCTTCACTGAGCTGAAAGGTTTTGTAACTTTTTTTTTTTTTTCAGTTAAAATTTTTAATTTCTGTATTTTCCCATACATTACAGAAAATACCCTTATGTACTGGGACTCCAACATTCGTCATTAATCTTTTCCTGGGGGAAAGGTCGAATATTAAAATGGACGAATGTCAAACGAGTTGTCCCCCATAGGAATGAACTAAAATGGTTTATTTCGGTCCCAGCCCCGAATTTCACTAATCTATTCTGTAAATACAACAACATTTCACTCAAAAATCAATCTCGGAAATCACTGTGAATACATTTTAATTATATATTAACCCATGTAGTCATTATTGCTTGATCGTTATAATAGAGATTTACTCATCCTATTTACATAAATGAGAGAGCTACTCGTCCTAGTTACATAAATTAGAGATTTACTCGTCTTAGTTACATAAATATACTGTAGGACCACGTAAATGCATAAATAAAATTTGTAAACAGAAATTTACCTTTCGGGTAAAACACACGCACACACACACACACACACAGACAACAATGGCTATTGTTTGGAATGCAGTGGAGGAGGGGTGGGTGGGTGAGTGGTGGCAGGGAAAAAGGGGTGGGGGGGTCGCTATCATAACATTAAGTAATGTCACTACTGGTGTCTAGTTGATTTATCAGCATTTCCGGACAATCCACAAGCACTCTTAAGAAGTTACCCAGTGTTGTTTGTTTTGTCCTGGTAAACGTTCCGAAAGTTATCAAACACGTCATCCTCAAATGAATTGATTGGCTGGGTAACTATAGCGATGTTTAGGGTGTCATTTCTAAATAAAATAAAAAATAAAAAACTGTAGTTTTAGCCAAGTGAACAGACACTCCTTAATTTCAGCTGTTAGAACTCGCCTATCATCATTTTTTTTTCTTCGAATAATGAATTGCCGGTCACGTCGTAGGAAGAAAGGATACTGACTTTTCGGGAGAATATCAAACAAAAATCACAACGAAAAAAAAAAAACGAATATGTTGACGAATACTGAAGTTCTACTACACTAATATTTTGGGTGCCCCTGAGAGATCTGAAACTCAGGATCCCCCCCCCCCCCCTCTATATACACATGCGTACACATACAGAGGCACATACTCACTTTTACACATACAGGGACATATACGCACACATATACAGAGAGATACATACATACACACACACGTACAAACACACTAAATATACAGACTGACACACACTAACACACCGTTACACATACGTACACCCAGACACACACACACACACACACACATATATATATACATATATATATACACACACATACAAATAGGAATGCACTCACATGTACACATCCAGGGACATACACAGACACACGCACATACACAAACAGACTGACACACAAACACACGAGCACACATATGCTCACAGACACACACAGGCACGAATATTTACACACACAGATAAACAGATATTATACTCTTTCTCTCTCTCTCTCTCTCTCTCTCTCTCTCTCTCTCTCTCTCACACACACACACACACACACACACACACACACACACTCACAAGAACTCTAAAGATGATCTGCTTCGATACTTGATTGCGGGATTTGTCAGAGAAAATAGTGTAATTTTTTTTGGGATATAATACACACACATACATACACAAACACCCCCCCCCCTTTTTCCCCCCCTCCCCACCCCTTTAAAATAAAAACTGAAAAACTAGCTAAGGAAGGAGCATATGAAGAATCGCTTTACGTAACTATTTGTGATCAACGGAAGAAGAGAATAATAAAATCAATCAGAAAGCTTACCGTGTGGGTTCCGGGGCTCTATTATAGGGGGATGGGGAATAGACCCGCTGCCTACCCAAAAGCATATCGTAGGAGTCGACAAATTGGGACCTTCCTTCGAAGTCGGAGTGCATATGCATGAGAGGCAAGGAACCAGCAGTCTGTATACAAATGAGTCAGATCTGTAAAACGGATGCACACGCAACACTCATGTTCTGGAACAGGACTGCAGTCCAAAAGTGGATGAACAACTAGAACAGAGTTTACAGCTGGTAACCGAGAAAAAGACGAATCAGAAAGCCACCACAACCGGCACAAGACGATTACCACATTATGGACAGATTAGAGCAAGTTATTATGTTACGTTTCGGAAGAGGGCACAATCAACATCGCAGCCACAGTTACATACAATTTAAGACTGGCGAATCAGCCATGAGCACATGTGGGTTGGCATTTGAGACAACAGATCAAGTCCTCCACGACTGCCCCAAACGCAACATATCAAGGCAAAACTGTTGGCCAAGAAAAATACCGGTGCAAGCCAAACTTTACAGGTCGCTGATCGAATTACAACAGAAAGTGAAGTTTATACAAGAGCCAACATTGCAGATGTAGACAATTTATTTCAAATGAACGAAAGAAGAAGAAGAAGAAGAAGAAGAAGAAGAAGAAGAAGAAGAAGAAGAAGAAGAAGAAGAAGAAGAAGAAGAAGAAGAAGAAGAAGAAGAAGAAGAAGAAGAAGAAGAAGAAGAAGAAGAAGAAGAAGAAGAAGAAGAAGAAGAAGAAGAAGAAGAAGAAGAAGAAGAAGAAGAAGAAGAAGAAGAATAATAAGAAGAAGAAGAAGAAGAAGAAGGAGAAGAAGCAGAAGAAGAAAGAAGAAGAAGAAGAAGAATAAGAAGAAGAAGAAGAAGAAGAAGAAGGAGAAGAAGCAGAAGAAGAAAGAAGAAGAAGAAGAAGAAGAAGAAAGAAGAAGAAGAAGATGAAGATGCGGAAAAAAATAAAGAAGCGGAAGAAGAAGAAGAAGAAGAAGAAGAAGAAGAAGAAGAAGAAGAAGAAGAAGAAGAAGAAGAAGAAGAAGAAGAAGAAGAAGAAGAAGAAGAAGAAGAAGAAGAAGAAGAAGAAGAAGAGGAAGAAGAAGAAGAAGAAAACAATAACGCACGCGCACACACTCACCCTCTCTTCTCACATGCAAACACTCACTCACAAACACTCACTCACAAACACTCACTCACAAACACTCACACACAGTACCCCACACGCTGTGGAGAAGCTCTGCCACGATACTCACGCGATAGCTTGGCATGTTAGTGAGGATAGTAAGTGCTACTTTGATGGCACACACTCTCCAAAGGCGATGCTTCAGCGGGGGGTCCAAGTATGAAAACGTGTCAATGGTTAATTTCAGTTTGTCCGTACTCAAGAAGATGGTCTGGGAGACAGAGACATGACAAGTTAGACAAGGGGCTGGCCGCTTTGTGTCGGCTTGTTAGATCAGGAAGGGGTGCCTACATGGTTATTTTCTTAGTACGCATGTTTACATAGCGAGGCGCATACGCCATTTGGAGGTGATAGATTTGATTCCTGGGACGGTAACTATAGCTTTCGATTTGTATGCTTTCTAGTGTGTCCTTCAGTCTTTCTACTTCTTTCTGTGCGTGCTGATCAATACATTGCCTCTTTATTAAAAATATAGGGAAAGAAACCATCGTGGTCTAGCCGCTAGACGCTCGTCTGTAGATCGAAAGTCCTGACGGGGTCCAGATTTTGTCAAAAATTATCTCGGCTCCCAGGTCGACCCAGCCTTAAGTGGGTATCAGGTAAGTCCTGTGAAGTAAAGGCGGCCAGCCTGGTGCAGACCACATTACACACCAAGTGCCGTTTAGTCTATGAAATGTAGGTCTAGCCCGATATACCTAACACGCCTGAAAGAGGCGTGAAAGAGGACCCTTTTCTTTCTTAAACTTTGTTAGATGAATGGTGTTAGGTGGGCCCTTGGGTACATGGTGCTGTGCAGCTCATCATCATCATCCCTTGACACTGCGTGTCGTTGGGTCACCAGTTACTGTTGACTGTCTGATCAGCTCCCTCCATCTTTGACGATCAAATGCGACTGATTTCAGGGTTGCATGCCAATGACAGGCCTAGTCAGTCAAGTACTGTATACAGGTCTACAACTACAACAGAATATGACTTCACAACTGGACGAACCACGTGCATTGACTACCAATTCTAACTTACATCAAGCAAATGAATTATGAACATCTGCCTATTTTACTGAACACAAAACTAAGCGCTTCACAAATAGCAACACCGTAACAACCAATATTGTGCTCACACAGGCTTAGTTAGCACTTCAACTAAAAAAAAGTGAATATTCGCTCTAGAAACATGAAATGAAATATCACCGGTCGAAGATACACACTGATATCGAAGCCTACACAGTTTCTACTAGAGTAAATTTATATCTAAGACTGAAACTAACCATAGAATATACAACCGCTATAATCGACGAGCCAGACTCTTTACCTCAGTAAAATAAGGTAGTTTTCTCTTTTTCGTTTGTTTCTTTTAGCAGGCCCCTTGTCATTCGCAATAATTCCAGAATCTCTGTATTGGACTGTTTTTGTTCCCATGAAGTATGTCCAAGTCCTTTTGAGAAAAAAATGAAAGGGTCGACCACTTTCAGACTGTTGCTAGCTAGCCGAGGCTGCTAACAGTATCCGCCTATATTTGTGGTCTGGGTTATTTGCGTCACTTTCGTGACAGAATTCTAGTGTTTGCGCCATTTCTGGGCTTGATGCTTCCATCCGAATAAGACCGCTCGTCCTCCACCCTGTTTTCACTTGTGCATGTCTTCCCTCATCTTACTTGATGTTTCCAGTTTGTGTTGCCTCCCTTTGATTTGACCAGGGTTATTTAGTAGGGGAGCGCGCTTTTCCACACAACGTCCTTTGGGCCACCATTTACAGTTTTTAAATTTTGAGTATTTTATTTTGGCAAAAAGTACTGAAAACAGTTTTTGATTTTGGATAGTTCCGAAATGTGAAAATATCCATGAAGTATGACCTCCAGCGTCGTACATCCACGTATACAGAGAGTATACAGAGACTCTCGGAAGGCATCCAGGCAAAATGGACGCTAGGCAGGAGCACTTTTTGGAGCCGAGGAAATGTTTTGCTTCTGCTGGACGGTGGCCGATGCATTTTTGCTCCATTTGTAGACTGGATATAGTTTCGTCGCCCAGCTTCTGAGATGAATGCATGGCGTGACACTGTGAGCTGCAGATTTCATTTTAAATGTTTTTTCGACTGTGACCAACATGGTGGTGTGAATTGTAGATCCGTCTGCTTCTTTTCCTTTCTTCTGTCTCATGGGATTTAAAGCTTTTCTTAACAACTAACCACAAAACCAGTAGACACCATATAACATACGAACTGACAGGAATGAAAACGATTATAAATACAACCACAGTTACACACAACAATAGCTAACACCCAACCACAGCTTACACACAACCACAGCTTACACACAACCACAGCTTACACACAACCACAGCTTACACACAACCAGAGCTAACAAAATAACTCAGCCAAGAATACCTCAACTGTTGTCTCACACACAACCCCAGCTTACACACAACCACAGCTTACACACAACCACAGCTTACACACAACCACAGTTACACACAACAATAGCTAACACCCAACCACAGCTTACACACAACCACAGCTTACACACAACCACAGCTTACACACAACCACAGCTTACACACAACCACAGCTTACACACAACCAGAGCTAACAAACTAACTCAGCCAAGAATACCTCAACTATCGTCTCACAAACAACCACAGCTAACAAAATAACTCAGCCAAGAATACCTCAACTATTGTCTCACACACAACCACAGCTAACAAAATAACTCAGGCAAGAATACCTCAACTATTGTTTCACACACAATCACAGCTAACAAAATAATTAAGCCAAGAATACCTCATTTATTGTCTCACACACAACCACATCTCACGCACAACCACAGCTAACAAAATAAATCAGCCAAAAATACCTCAACTATTGTATCACACACAACCACAGCTAACAAAATAAATCAACCAAGAATACCTCAACTATTGTCTCACATACAATTACAGCTAACAAAATAAATCAGCCAAGAATACCTCACCTATTGTCTCACACACAACCAAATCTTACACACAACCAAAGCTAACACAATAAATCAACCAAGAATACCTCAACTATTTATCACACACAACTACAGCTTACACACAACTACAGCTTACACACAACTACAGCTCACACACAACCACAGCTAACAAAATAAATCAACCAATAATACCTCAACTATTGTCTCGCAAGATAAAGTCGCTTTCCGCGTCTGCTCCATCATGACACTCCGCTCGCCGATGACATTCCCCGTGGAGAGGAAGTCCAGCAGACGAACAGCTTGGCTCCCACTGTCGGTTTTGGCGGTGTCCAGGGGCACCTCTACCTGGAGATGGAAGGCATGCATGTTCCAAGGGGCACATTTTAACAGGGAAAACTGGATATATGAATAGTTTGTTTGCTTGTTTATTGAACGGATCAACATCACGGCACACGGGTGTAATCCATTGCCTAAGTGATATCCCTGTGTGAGTTCCGCAGCCCCATTGTTAGGCCCCCTAACAAGCATTTTGTAACAGTTGACTAATTAGAGAGGTTTCCTTTAAAATCAAAATACATGTGGCTCAAAGGCGTGGGAAACAACAGACTGCATATACATAGGCCAGATCTGTAAAACGGATGTGCGCGCAAACCTCAGCTTCTGGAAGAAGACTTAAATGCAGACCTGGATGACCAACAACAACAGTCCGCTGGAGTTTACAGCCGGTGAACGCGAAGAAGAAGAAATAGTACGTGTTGTAGTCCAACAAGGAGCAGCTGCTTTTATGGATAGAGCTGAGGATATTCTAAATATTCTCACCCGCGCAGGATTTCAGGTCACCTTGGGTTGGTGTGATAATTAAGAGTACCCTGATTATATCTTCTTTTGAGGATGAACGGGGTATATGAGGTCAGATTCTTGTGTTTCTCGGTGTCACACCTGTTCAGGTCCTGTTGGTCTGCCACCAGCACTGAAATTCTGTAGTCTCATGTTATCAAACCTTCAGGTCTTGTTGGTCTGCCATCAGTACTGAGATTCTTTAGTCTCGTGGTGTCAAACCTTCAGGTCCTGTTGGTCTGTCATCAGTACTGAGATTCTGAAGTCTCATGGTGTCAAGCCTTCAGGTCCTGTTGGTCTGCCATCAGCACTGAGATTTTGTAGTCTCATGGTGTCAAACCTTCAGGTCCTGTTGGTCTGCCATCAGTACTGAAATTCTGTAGTCTCTCAGTATTAAACCTTCAGGTCCTGTTGGTCTGCCATCAGTACTGAGATTCTGTAGTGTCATGGTGTCAAACCATCAGGTCTTGTTGGTCTGCCATCAGTACTGAGATTCTGCAGTCTCTCAGTGTTAAACCTTCAGGTCCTGTTGGGTTGCCATCAGTATTGAGATTCTGTAGTTTCATTGTGTCAAACCTTCAGGTCCTGTTCGGTTGCCATCAGTACTGAGATGCTGTAGTCTCATGGTGTCAAACCTTCAGGTCCTGTTGGTCTGCCATCAGCACTCAGATTCTGTAGTCTCATGGTGTCAAACCTTCAGTTACTGTTGGTCTGCCATCTGTACTGAGATTCTGTAGTCTCATGGTGTCAAACCTTCAGGACCTGTTGGTCTGCCATCAGTACTGAGATTCTGTAGTCTCATGGTGTCAAACCTTCAGGACCTGTTGGTCTGCCATCCAGAATGATATCTGATAATTTTTTTTTAAAAATAAAGGATTGTGATGGAAATTCTGGTTCTCGTTGGCACAGAAATGGGGCAACTAGTGGAGTCGAGTTTGCTACAAAGTTGGAACTCCGATTTATCTGATACCTAATTACTCACAAATTTCCACCATCATCAGACTCTTCAAATTAGCTAAACTTTCCACAGACATTTCACAATAACTAAACTTCTCACAGTCATTTCCCACTAACTAAAGTTTTCATAGATACGTCACATTACCTAAGCTTTCCTCAGCACTTTAAATTAACTAAACTTTCCACAGACACCTCACATTAACTAAACGCCCCACAGCAGTTCCCTTAAGTAAACTTTTCCAACCATTTCCCTTAAATAAACTTCGCACAGCCATTTCCCTTAAACAAACTTTCCACAGCCATTTCCCTTAAAAAAAATGTCCACAGCTTTTGCCTGAGCTAAACTTTCCACATAGTTCCCCCTCACCCCCCCCCCCCAACTAAACTTTCCCAGCCATTCCTCCCAACTAAACTTTCCACAACCATTTCCTTCATCTAAACTTTCCACAGCCATTTATCTCACCTAAACTTTCCACAGCCATCTCCCTCATCTAAACTTTCCACAGCCATCCCCCCGCCCCTCCCCCCCAAACTAATCTTACCATAGATATTTCTTCCAGATAAATTTTTCACAGCAATTTTTCCCCAGCTCAAGTTTTCACAGCCATTTCCTTTAGATTATTCTATAGACCCGAGGGTAAGTCAATAAGTAAGTCCCAAATAGTCTTTAAAAAAAAAAAAAAAAAAAACTAAAGACGATAAAAACTTGTAAGTTAATTATTTTTACACCGACACTGTAGGCTAATTTTTGAACACAATTTTTACCAACATTGATGCACTTGTCCCATCCTTTTATTAGTCCTCCTAAACCTGCTGCATAGAAATGCTTGCTCTTTTTTCTAAACCAACGTTTTCACTTCACTTTGAACTTCTGCGTCATTCCTGAAACGTAACCCCCCACCCCCTCCCCTTCCCCCTTTCAAAACCCACCAAGTCGGATTTTCAGGGGACCAAAAACCACGTGAGCACCCTCTTGCAGCTGCTACAGAGTCAACCGTTACTCGCCTATCACCTCTAATCATCCCCTCCCACCCGCTGTACAGATGCATCTGTTACAATCTCAACATGCTCCGTAAGTCCAGTCGCCATTTTGTTTCTGTAGTGCGCTTGCGTATGCAACACCTAGCGCCACTTTACGAACGGAGACATAAAGTTGGATGTTTCTGTCACCTAATGACACCTTCAGAAACCACCAGCTACATTTCTATGCCATCCCATAACCATTTGTGACCTACTTTTTGACTCTTCCCCCGTATTATCCACTGTCATACTGCCTAACACCACCATACACTAAGCTTTCCTATAACGGCTTTCCCTTACCTTCACAAGGCCACTAACAATAAAGTGTATCCCATCAGCAATGTCCCCAATCTTCATGATATTGTCCCCGTAGTGATACCTCCGCCTCTCTGACAGATTCAGAATGAAGTCCACTACATTCTGGTTTCCATCAATCCATGGAATGCTCTCCAAGATCTTCCTCGGAGAGGGAATCAGCAGCCGAGGTGGATTCGCCATCACTCGCTTCATTTTAGACTCTATAACCTTCAAAGAAATAAGGAATGGTTGATGTTTTAGCAATTTTAGTACCATTGCCAGTTTGTGTAGCCAAACATGGTTATAAATACTCAGAATTGTGAGCGTATTGTTCTCCCAAACTCTCTTTGTCAATTTGTTCATTGTTATTGCTGCATTACCTTCCTGATTTTGATTTCTTGGTCCAGCGATACCTATTAATATTACACAGCACGAAACCTGTTGTATCTAAAGCACATTTTACTTATCAGTCTAGCAGACCTTGGATTCATACACGGACGACAGCACTAATTTTTTATTTCAATTTAAAACACCTCGAACAATAGAACCCATTTTAGTTGTCAAGGACCTTCTTTTTGCTATACTACATCTGGCTTGTGTTGCAGGCCAGGAACATATAAATCTAACCTCCTCCCCCCCCCCCCCCCCCCAACAAAAAATACACACACACACTAGGCCAAACACTCTTGGAGCACACACAAAATCTTTAATGTACAAAGATCAATAAACCTATCGCAGTTAGTTTCAAGAGTTGCAGGTGCCCTGTTTCCGAAATGATGGTCGTGCCAGCTTTAGAAATCACTAGTCATGCCTTCCCATTCCCGTGGATAGGCACTGGGCACAAACCCACACCGCTCTCGTACAGCGCTGTCCGTAACCTTTGTCCCCGACACGAGGATTCTGAGACGCGCACAGAGTGAATGGCCGAATGTGTGTGGGCAGATGTTAACGCCACAATAAATGGATTACAACCTTCGATAACTGCTTCAACAAAATCTACGTTAACAATTCTAACCCACAATAATGCCACGAAACTAAATAACTTCGTCAAACACCCTACAAAAAATATTATCTCTACAGTCTAGCCAAAACACACTCCTAACGGTCAATAAACTGGTCGATAACACACTACACTCTAAAAGTCCCCTATGCGATATCAACGTGGCAAAGTCCTGCAAAATGCTTTCTTGATTTTCAGCTAAGCAGAGCTTTTGTCTACCTTCACAATTCACTCCGATTTCGGGGTGCCATGAAATCGGCCAAGCGTACAGTTCAATCGCCACGACTTATCCTGTGGTAGGTTTGTCATGATACCCTGAGTTCATGTCTGGGTCACCTGGTATAGACACGAAGATTCAACATCGTCATATTTTCTTATCCCATACCTGAACTGGTATCTGACACAAGTTCTGCTGTTTTTTCTTAAAGCGGCGAATTTCTATGATCTTTGATTTATAATTTTTCGATCCCTTAAAATTGAATATACAGTAATAGACACACGCGTAGAAAGTGTTCGGAAATTAATTCACATATGCAGCGATGCGTAGTGATTATTTTAAAAAACCTATCCCACATTCGACGAAAATTCGGCAACTCACGTCAGACTAATGCTAGAGATTACTACCTAAGAGTGAAACGCATATGAAGCGCGAAAAATAGGAGGTTTTGAAAAGGTATTTGTCAGCATGCCATTGTTTGCTATGAACCGTGTGTGTATTTTTTTTTTCATATCCTGCAAATAAGGCAAAAACTACATGTCTGTTTAAAAAACATTCTGAAGAGGACAGGATTATTAACAAATGCATGCCAAATTTCAACAACACAGACCGAACGGGTACTGAGCTACAGATATTTCAATGTGGGCATGACTTCTGAAATAGATTATGTGAAACATCACAACGGTGTTTAATTTACAACATATGTTAGCGCAGATAACGACGACGACAATAATAATAATAATAATAATAATAATAATAATAATAATAATAATAATAATAATAATAATAATAATAACAACAACAACAACAACAACAACAACAACAACAACAAACACATGACTTTGGCTGTTGTAAATTATATGTTTTGTTCAGGCTTCAAACGTTTGTTGTTGCCTTGCCAATGCGTATCATAATTTCTTTTCTTTTTTTTTTTTAGCTTCCTTGGCAATCTAAATGCCTATCAAATGAGTAAACCTATCTGCTACTTTGTATTTTACCTTTTCTTCGCCCTAAAAAAAAAAGAAATCCCGGAGTTTCCATGAAATTCCACTATCGTAGGGTGTTATGACATTATTTGCGGGTGAATGAGCAGAGGTTCTGCAAGATGTTCACATAAATACTTCCTTCTATAAGTGCCGATCAGTACATTGTCTGTTACTTTATTAATGCAAGATTTTCAACACTGAGAGGGAAACAGGCGGACATTTGCAGGTTGCATGTCAGCTCTTCAGTGACCTTTGAAGAAGTGGTCAGAGAATGTGTGGGAATGTCCCGACTGATAT